ACTGATGACATACACTGCGGTGTTTCGGCGTCATATAACAGCCACTTCATCGCCGATGTCAATCTTTGCTTTTATTGATGCCCATGTCTGTTTCATCGACACAGAAATCCGAAGGGGAAGCTGGAGTTGATATAATATCTGTCCAGCGGCGGCGGCAAGGTGGTACGGCTGGCTCGTAAACATGAAGCCATTAAGACCTCGATTTCTTTACTTCTGAGGTCTGCATATCGAAAGCTTATAACACATTTCAATCTGTTATTGTGTGAAACTCCATACCCTCTTAAGAGTCCGTCCATAGGGATCAATATCTGGTGTGCTGGCCCCAGTTGGCCCACCGGGCTAGGAACTCAACTCGCCGGTGTGTTTGTTGATGGGGCGGTTGAGGAAAACTCATATTTCGTCGAAATCCTCCCTTCCTCGAGTTCTTGAGTCATGACACTGAGCCTTCAGGCATGTATCACCTGCTGAATGGATCTGTGCCGGGAGGAGGTTGTTCCGACTGGGAGCCATCAAAAACCTGGTGTATTCTAGGAGTACGGTAGCTCCAGCCGGTTCGCGGTGTGCAATTGTGTAGGGTAGCAGAACATGATCTGCGCAACGCCATAGTTGATACGGAAATCCATCCGCGGTGAGGATTTAAATTTCCTGTTACAGACATGATGTGTCTTGCAGCGTCTGGCCGGAGTGCAGGAGCATTTCGAGGTGTATTTGAAGAACCGCACTCGTCGGTTGCGTGAGCCAGCACAAGCGCACTTGTCTTATCAATATATGTATCTTGCAGTTACTGATGTCAGGTGCCATGTGACAGCCCAATTCTGGCTTTGGACCTATCTTCGATGCAGCGGGTTGGAAGAAGCACAATTTCGAGATTGCGGCAGCGGCGCACACATGGCGGATAATTGTAATGATTTTAAGGTCTGCTACCCGAACATGAGGCGTTTCCAAGCAGTTTTATATGCCGGTATTCAACTCAGAGGGTGTTTAGAAAGGGTCGAAGAAGAAAGGGGAAAGGAAGCGATATTTATAGTTCTTGAACCAGCTAGTATCGTTCCCAATGTATGCGAGGAAAAGACCATGTTTAGAATCGATACTAACTACCACCATTACTAGGTCTATTCGTACTTCAACGATCTTGAAACGTACCCCAAAAGCAGTCTCTTCACATGGAAGCTGCACTCGGTGCAGTGATCGAAGTTGGCAATCATTACCACCAGTTCATAACCTTCACGCTGATATCCAATGGTGCATGTAAGCTTCTTAGTGTCCCACACCAGCACACATGCCTCGCCGGCTGTGACGTTTTGGTGTGCCATCCTCGATTCTATGTGGCACCCCTTAAACCATTTCTCAAAGTTGCAAAAACCAACCGTATGTTGTGGTCTGTAGACTTTCAGTCACTACAACCACAAGCCCATGCCCAGCCTTTTCACGGATTTTGAAGTCTTGAGTGCCCGGTATGAGAAAGAAACGGGGTCACATTCTGAAGCCGTAAACAGGAACGCTTATATACCTGCTCCTTTATGCAATCAAGGCTTTTATTAGACGACTCACTTCCTGCTATTATATGAAGACGGAGTTCATCACTGTAGTTGCACTTGAACAACATATGAATCCCCAGTCAGCTATTTCCGTGCAGAAACAACCCTTCACAAGCGCCACCATAGACATCTCGCCTACGGATTTTGGAAGCCTGGCAGGGCCACACATGAGGGCCATTGTCGTTCATTTTAAGCCAACGCCTGCATCGTTCGCATTTGAAGAAGGAGAGGCTTGGAAAGAGGGAGACGGAACGGCTTTATAACCCGTCCCTCAACCATACTTGCATTACGGCTCCCTAGACATGCTTAAACTCTCGGATCAGGACAGGCGCACATAGGTACTTGAACACACATTTGAGAACAGCGACGGAGATCATCCACAGCCATCACCACCATCATCACCACTATAATCTCCACCATACAAAAACTCACCTTGTAATGTCTTATAGTGCAACTCGGCATTTAACAAAAACAAGAACAGATCTGAAATCCTACAGCCACACAGAGAAAAAAACCCTGACACTAACATCATGCTGTCTTCAATTTCTTTCGAAGTCTCCGCCAGACACTCATACAACTCTTCGAAGCACCATTTTTTTTAGAGAATTCGACTCTCCAAACGCAAACTGTGAGGAAGGAAAAACGAAGAGGAGGGGATGGCGGGAACAGAGGGGTTTATATACTTCGTTTCTTCAGACAACCACCTCGTTCAACTCAGTACCAGACGGCTTACGCAGAATTGAAGTCCACAATAATGAAAATAATCGCCACCACTTGGATCTACCTTGGTACACGGCTAGTTATCCTTCTTACTTCACTATCCTATTCCCGCCTAGCAAACAGTCCACACACTCCACGCGCCCTCCCCCTCATTCGTTGGGGTCGAACAATTTTTAGATCGTGTAATCACACAACATCAGTTGAAGGTCCACGATTTTCGAAGGGCCAATCCCCGTTTCTCCAAGTGTGAGGAGGAAAAGAAGGTATGATGGGCTGGGGGCGGTTTATATATCGACTTTACCGGTCACCTGCTGTAGAGCTTGGTGTATGCACCGAGCTCAATCTTGTCTATGTAGTCAGCCTCTGTTGAAGGTTATTCCTCAAGTGGAGATCATCACCATCACTACTTATCACTACTAACCGCACCAAAAGTGGGACAAACACTCGCAACGACAATACTCAACCCCAACTCTATACCATAATTTTTACCTAAGACCGTACTTCTTCGATCGCGCACATAGACATTGCCAAACGAATATCGCGCTCATCACTATCGCAGTAACCTTTTCGGGCCCCAACTTTACATCCCCACATACAGCAAAAGCGGCGAGATTTTTGAGTTCCAAAGCAGCAGACATATTTCCAACCTTCATCTGTTTCTTTTTTATGTGATAAGCCGCTACTCAAAACCTGGATATAAGAAGAAAAGAAACGGAGGGCAGAGGAGCGACGGAACTTGCGGTTTATATATCCGTTTTAGTTCCCTGACGGCGAGAGCTGCGACGTACTAAATTGTGGAAAACACTACGTATGTGAACATGTGTTTACGACTGAATATGCGGAAGGCTACCTGTCATCACTGCTACTTGTCACCACCATCACCAGTATTATACTCCCGACACAACCCACCAAGAACTTGCCTACCCGTCCTATGTCCCAACCAGACACACCACGCATTTCAGCGATCCCCGCCATTTTTTCCAAACTTCACAAACACACAAGCACATACAACCAATACCTGTGAGTTTTAGATACCCCGCACAATTTCGCAAGCCTAGTTGTGAGGAAGAAGAAGGAGAAGAACAGGAGCGGCCGACGACGGGGTTTATGTATTTTTCACCTTGGTCTCTTGGGTTAACTTGAGCCTATAGCTAAGAGGAGTGTCAAAACGGGGTAGTTATGCAGATTGTTTTTAATCAGTGAAGGAGAGGGGGTCTGCTGACTATTACTAGCACTGTTATCACCACCATCACCATCAAATCCCCTATCACATTCCCCAAAAAATTCGAACCTACAACTCATGTCCAAAACACATACACGCAAAACCAAACATACCCCGAATGTTGGCCATTCTCACCCTCACAACCCAAGGACGACATCGACTTTTTCTTGCGGCTTTTTCTTAGTGCATTCCCATTTCCCCAAACCCGAACAGTCAGCGAAGAAAAAGACTAGGACCAGGAGCGAAACAAGAGCGTTTATATATCCTACTCATCACTCGTAGATGACTAACCAACTCCACTACTGAATTCTGGAAAGCATGGGGATGTCCGGGCATATTTCACCTGCTCAGTGCGGAGGAGAGAAGCCGTGTGTAGAGACTACGTGTAACAGCAAGGGTGATTACGACCAGCACCATCAGCACCACCACCACTGCGTACACTCGCAGCACGATTCCTAACACTCTCTCGTCCATTCCAACTCCCCAAAACCCCGCCGATGCCAGCCATTCTTTTTATTTTTGCCATTTTCGTACTCGCAAGCCGACAACCACATGCCATGAGGGAAGGCGAATTTGAAGTAAAACAGTACCACCAATCTTAGCCGTAGAGGTAGAAGAAAGAGAGAAGGGAAGGAGAAATCGTGGAAACTAAGGGGCTTATATACCTGTTTTAAGTACTACAGTAGAGAGGGACATGCAAGATTGAATCGAGGTTTGTGAGCATCGGAGATGTGGCTTCTTTCGAGTGAAGAGAAGGAGCAGTGAGGTTATTGATCACCATTACCACCACCACTACCAATTGCATGCCGCGTACGATCTCCAGAATACCAATCATCCCCGTCAGAAATCGCCCACTTTTGTCCGCACGAAAACACAACGACATTCCAGGCTTCTGTAAACGTTTTTGTCAACACCCCCCCTTCTCCCACCCTCAAACGAACCTGTAAAAGGAAAAGGAGTAGGAGAGAAGCGGCGAAGAGGAGTAAGGGGGGTTTATATATCCTTCCCAGGGTCTCGGTATCCCGTAATGTTATGATGGGCAGATTTTTCAACGCATGTTGGACATGCGGACATGTTTCTACGTTTCTTAAAAGGGAATGGGGAGAACGCTACTAGTCACAATCATCATCCTCACCATCACCATCACCACCATAAATACAACCCCAACACTCTCCTCACACCTCGCACCTCCATTGAAGTGGCCATTTCCCACGTCCACCCAGCAAACAACACATAAACCCCAGAATTTTTCATTTTCAGTGGTAAGCTCACCACTCTGTCCAAACCATGAGAGGGGAGAGAGAAGGAAGGAGAGGCAGTGGTAGAAATGATGAGCTTTATATACCCCGCCTCATACCTCCCTACCCAGTGCGAGCAACGAGTCATCAAATTCACAGGCCCCTCTGCGCATGTGCTTGATTTTCCGATAGAATCGAAGACTCAACCAGCATCGATGCCACATTTGCACTCAAATCATTTTTGAGGACATGTCACGAACACGAAACACCACTTGCATATGAGTTTAGCACATGAGTTTAGATTTCACACTTTTAGATTCATGTCCATGAACGACACTCATCCTATGACCATCAGACGACGCTTACTTCCTTTCCACGCTCCCTTCCCGACATCTGCGGGTGCGACGCCTTTGACTGCAGACCTACCTCAGAGCCTCGCCGCTAGTCAATACCCCTTCGCCTTCAGCCATTCCCTCACGACCCCCTCATCCCTCCTCCTATACTTATCCAAACTCCGGATCGTATCATCAATAACATCCAGCCCCTTATCATACCCTCTATTATCCTTATTCTTGAAGAACTCCTTGATCTCATCCGCAATCTTAGCATCCGAGAACTTATTGAGACCGAACCGCAGGAACCTCTCCAGGACGACGAGGTTACCCGACAGCGTAGGATGCACATCGGTGTCCCAGCGGTCGCGGATGAACTTCCACACTTCGATGCGGACCTTGGAGTTTGTGGCTAGGACAATGGTGCCAGAGTGCTTGTCTTGCATGGCGACTTTGTCCGAGAAGATGAAGGAGAGGAATCTCTGTGCCAACTCGGGTGTCTGGACGCGGCCAAGACTCTGCAGGCAAATCTCCCTGCCATCGACGGAGCTGGTGGTAAGATACTCGTTCTGCACAGCCTCAAAGCCGGATTCGCCGCGTTCCTTCACGGCGATAGAGAAGATAGCCTTACGCAGCGAAGGGTGGATAGCTGACTTATCTTCACCCGATATGTAGAGGTCGAAGCGCCTGAGAGCCTCGTCGACCGTCGCTTTGTGGCCGACAAGACCAGCAGACAGGATGAGCGCAGCACGGAGCTGGCCAGTGAGAAAGCCCTCTCCTTGTTTGAATTCCCAACCGATCTTTTCAACCGCGGGCGAGATCAGCTTCAGGTGGAACTTTTTCAGGCCTTCAGAGATGTCCTCTGCGCCAGAGAAGATGCTCTTGACGCTGCCGATATCCTTGAGGATCTGGCTCCAGACCCTGTAAGACGGTTAGACAACATGAAACTACGCGCTCTTAGCAGCACTTACAGGTAGTCTGACTCGTCTTGGAAGTTTTCCACGAGCGCCAGCAAGCCAGGAGTCGCACCATGACCAGCAACAGAGGTTGCATATGCATCGCCGATAATGCCAATCTTGTCCTGTACCGAAAGACCATGCCGAGATTCACCAAGCTTCGCGAGACGCTGTGGGGGATAGTTGGTCCTGTAGAAACCAGTGAGGTCCTTGTTGAGCTGGTAGAACGACTCATCGACATCAGCGATGGTGTCCTGCTTCTGGGTGAGCGCCTGAACCTTGTGGATCGACGCGGCAGACACAGAGGATCCGGTGCGCAGACCCAACGGAATCCACCAGACAGTCTGATCCTCTTCCGGCTTCACATCGCCCGACAGGAGGAAGCGCTGCTGGCGAATGCTGATTTGGCCAGGCTCCTCAGCAACAGTGACAACAGGGAACCCGATCTTGCGAATCCAGTTGTCCATGAAGCTGTTGACATCCTTCCCGGAAGCCTTGCTGAGGGCAGACCAGAGGTCGTTCGTTGTCGCGTTGCTGTACTTGTGGGCCTTCAGGTAATCTGCAACGCCCTGCAGGAAGACCTTCTCGCCTAAGTGAGCACTCAACATGCGAATGACGGAGCTACCCTTGAGGTAGCTGATGTGGTCAAAGATCTGGTCAACCTCGAGACCATCGTAAACAGGCACTTCGATAGGGTGGGAAAGTCTCAGGCCGTCGAATTGGAAGGCTGTTTGAACGGATTCGGTCTAGATTAGAGATGGTCAGTAGAGTGCGGAGAGAAACTACCTTTGGATCTTCCACGTACAACAAACTGTCCCCAGACGTTCCACTCTAGGTTGCGTTAACGCAATGTGCCTGTCCCCTTAGCAAGTGATGACGTACCAGGATAGAGATGGTCGATAGCGAACCAGCCAACCCAGGTGGCGAAGCCCTCGTTGAGCCAGAGCTCACTCCACCAGTCCATGGTGACAAGGTTGCCAAACCATTGGTGAGCAAGCTCGTGAGCTACCACATAGGCCACGCGGTTGCGATAGCTATCGGCAGAGGTTTTCTCGTCGAAGAGAACAGCGGTGGTTCTGGATAGCGAATTAGAGTCCATCTGCTCTCGAATATTTCAGACCCTGAGCTTACCGGTAAGTAATCAGACCCCAGTTCTCCATAGCGCCGTGTGACTAGGAATCAATGGTCAGCTTAGCGTTCTGCATCATTCGGAGGGCAATACGTATAATTGGCTAATGGTTCAGCTCAATGAACATATTGAGGAAGCAACGCCACTTACAAATTCATGCACAGCAAGCAAGTCCACCTTCGGCAGCGGGTAGTCGATTTGGAATTGCTGCACCGTCATGTTAGCACCTCATCCTTTCGAACCAACGAATATCTTACCTCAGAAAAGTAGTCCACAATCTTATGGCAGTTGTCCAACGCAAAGCGACCCTGCTCCTTCAACCCGCGCGTCGTATACACCCTCACGGGCAAATTTTTGCCATTATACTTGCGCTTTGTGAACGCCTCCACATACTCAAAATCTCCAATCGCCCAGGCCAGCAAATACGTTGACATGATGGGCGTCCGGTCAAAGTACACGGTCTTGAAGCCCGGCTTCTTGCTCGGTTTTACCTCCTTCTCCGGCATATTGCTGAGGGCCGTCTGATCCTCTGGAAGCTCCAGATCGACATCAAAGGTAGCTTTCAGATTAGGCTCGTCGAAGCAGGGGAACGCACGACGGGCATCGCAGGATTCAAACTGCGTGCTGAACATGTAGTGGAACTCGTCATCCTTGGCGACGGAAGCTGGGACCTCGCCTTTAGGCTTGTACTTGGAGCGGTAGAATCCGGCCATGATCTGGGGTCGTCAGCATTGTCAGTCGTCCCCAGTATAACCATGACGTACATTGTTGATAGTTCCCTCAAACTTAACGGTCAAGACAGCCTCTCCCTTGTACTGGATCGTCGTGCCAAAGTTTAAGGTAACCCGCTGCCGCTTCTCATCGTACGAGATATCCTTCGCCTCGCTGATGCCCTGATTTGTCTTGATTTCCGCAGTATGGATCTTGAGCTGGTGGGCATTGAGCACGAGTTCGCTCCAGCCCTCACTGTTGTCAATGTTGATGTTGATGGCAACGGTACCCTGATACTTGAAGTTTCCGCCGAACTCGAGGTCGTAGAGTGATAGGGTGTAGTGCGTGGGCTTCGCCCTATGGTACATTCCTGTTAGCATGGCCAATTGATAGTCGTATTGAGGGGCAGTGTAACAGCTCTGAGCATAGGAGAGAGATGGATACGCACCAGTGTGGCAGAATATCCCTATCCGACGCCATGATCGCAAAGCTACTGCTACCTTCACACGAGCAGTATCTCAATTGTCTCCTAACAGCAGTACCTCCGTAAGGGCAAACAGGCCGTAGGCGGGCACGTGGGACCTGATTTGGAGCTTGGATAGGCGGGGAAGCCTTCGGTCTGTAGCTTGAAGCAGTAGCGAATGTTCGTGGTAAAGCTCTCGATTGAAGCGGCCGGCAAAGCTGTGTCAAGAGTCGTGGTCGAGAACAATGTCTCGAGAGGAGGGAAGGGAGAGCCAGCTTGCGGAGAAGAGCGGCGCAAACGCGGCTTAGTGATGCAGGTGGGGGACAAGGTGTGGGATTGGGGTGAGGTCAACAAGGTGCAGCTTGCCCCACGGTGACGACCGTAGGAACCCGCGCAGGGGCCAACGCCATTTGCGATGAATGCACATGCCTTCACTACAGTTTCAAATGGAGGAACATGCGAGAGGAATACACAGATGCTGTATTCTGGCTGCTTGAATTTCAAGATTTGGCATGTTTCGGGAATTTCAACGTCTCTGCCAACGGACCTGTTCTGACAACCTTCCCCAGTGCCATCATCATTAAGACCACTGAACTAATCGTCTTCAAATGGTACCATGTATCCCTCAAAAGACGCAATATGAACCGCCCCAGTCTCCCAAGACGCCCGAAAATGCAGTCCAAATTATGCACAGCTCGCCAATATGCTCATCAGAAGGTAATCGATTGCGACGCTCCGACTCTTTTGTTATAGTCTGACCAGCACATCCAGACACGGGATCCTCATTTCTTTCCTCGCCCATACCCCCTTAACCCATTCAATCACTCCCGCTGATCCGTCCACCTGTGTACTTCCTCGGCCCACCTTCTCCTTCACGCCCTCCACTGCGGCATTCAGCAACGCCTGTGCGGTCTGACTCGCCGCCTGCGCATACACACTTGCAGCCTCGAGTCCCAATTCGTTAATCCCACCCCTTCCACTCGCTTCTACCGTGCCAGTGTTGTTGATATTTTTCCCGGCGGAGTCTGATAGCGCGGAATCGGGCCCCTCGAACCATGCCGAGTGGAAGTCGAAGATGGCGGCGACGAGGATAAAGAGCAGAATGGAGCAGTAGGGGCAGGGGCGATTGAGAAAGAATGACGCAACAAGGAAGGCGACTAGGTATGTCGGCGATGCTTTGGTTCGGAGGCTGTAGATTTGTCAGTATTGAGTCGTCCACCGGAGGTAGGGGGAAGGGCAAGGATTTTACGTACAGGAAGAACAGGATCGGTATCCAGCTGCGCAGACAAAACATCTTGTCTGCCGCGCCTGCTCGCGCCCGAGTTTCAAGGCTCTACGCAAGGTTGTGGTGTGTCGCGTGTGTGGTTTCTGAGTGCGGCGCGTCGTTACGGGCGCAAAAGAGAAGCCGAGTCGAGACCGAAGTGAGGTTAAGGTTAGGGCCGCGTGGAAGCTAGGGTCTGCGCGGGGGTTTCCTGGTGCATTAAACAAGTAGGGTGAAAGTGTAACCACCCAAAGAGAATGAATGGCGGACACAATGATGTGAATCTTGAGCCCGATGGCAACACAATCACGAAAGGCTGCCAAGGCTTAGTCGGGAGATCGGCACTCGGGACGGGGCACTGCAGGACGCTAGGTAAAAGTGTGGCGCATGATGTGGCGCATAGCCAACTTCATATCTGAACTTGAAGAGGACAATCTCCGCAAAACATACTATGTAGCATATGTCTTTTCCCAAAAAGTAGATTGGGACGAAGACATGCCATTGTAATCCAGCGCTATTGCGGCATTCCATGTCCGACTGGACCGCCCCTTGCAACCGCCCTGTAGGTGTGATCACCTAGCCAGTCGGCGCAACTAAATTGGCCACTACCTATAGCTAATAATGCGATATGTGGAGCTCCGTTCAGACCTTATTGTACGTGGGCAAGAGGTGCTACAAAACTAGAGGTAGAGGTGGGTGCAAGGCGCGAATGTAGGAGGATGGAGGGGGCACTACAGAAAAATATTATTACTCTACTGATTATTTTCTGTGTACTACTCAGACTACGGCAGCAGCAGTGGCCTGCTGTTTGCGAAACAAAGAATGATTGACCGCAGGCAGCACTATGTGTCCTCCCCTTTCCCTGCTTCCTTGTCCTGCTTGAAGTATTGATAGTACTTTCTGCCCTTATCCAAAATGCTGACATAGGAGTCCGAGTAATGAGCTGTATACTGTATTTCGTCTCCAATAGCCTCCTCGCCGTCGACGTTCACCCGAAGCCCCCATCGAGTCTCTTCAATGTCCAGGTTTGCGACCCGCTGACACAAGCTCTACTCGTTCTTTAAACCGGACCGTCGTGGAAGTGAAAGCTCTGAGGGGTTAGCGGAGCGAGGTGCCGCTATTTCGGTGACGATGGCAGACAATTCATCAAATACTGTCTCCAATGATAGACTGCTCCCCTCTGCGTCCTTCTCGTATTCAGTGTCACACTCTGGGCTTAGAGATGGGGTTGCCGGTGCGCGAGGGCGAAAGCTGGCGTCCGGGACATCCTCCCGATTCGAGTTCGGCTCCCTTGTACCGTCCTGGCTCCAGATAACCGGTTCGAACACGGTGGCTTCCTCTGGAGTAGGCAGCACCGTCGATACATCCGTCTCTTTCTGAAACATCTTCCAGAAAAGCTCCATCTCCGGCCAACGTGCCCAAGCCTCCTTCTTCCCGGACTCCGTTTTCATCATAGGCAAATACTGCATGAACCGCTCGATGATGTGCTGGGCTGCCTTGTCGAACGTGCCGTATTTGCGCTTTTCATGATGACCACCAAAGGTGAAGCAACGGGCAATGCCGACGAAGCCTAGGCTATCTAGCCGGTCGGCGTCTTGCACAATTGCGAGCTCAGGATGCAGCTTTATGAGTTCCCGTACCCTATCCGGATCCCTCCTTTCGGCTGAGAAGGATACGCCATTCGCGATGACCCAGATATCATGAGCTAGGTGGTCGGGGATACCACTTGCCTTCAGCAGATGCTTCGTCTTGGACTCCGGCGTTTCGCCCTTAGCTATGTCGATGTATTTCTGGTCGCCCACGTCGTGTACGATCATGGACATGAACAGTTTGGTTGGGTCCAAATCGTGGGCACGGCCCGCTTCTAATTCGGCTTCGTAGAGTCGAAGAGCGATTGTGGTCACACGTTGGATATGTTCCCAGTTGTGTGAGTTGTCGTTCAGAGCCATGATTTTCTGCGTTTCGGAGACAATCTTGGTACACCAGGCTTGATGCGCCTCGGGGATATGCAGCTTCTTGATATCCAGCAAGACAGCGGACGCTTCTTCCGATGCATTGTAGAACGGGCCGTGGCTGTTCGACTGAGGAGCAATCGACCAACTTGGGATATACTTCGGGTCGGCCTCGAGAGCTTTGAGCGTTCCCTCTGCATCTCGTAGGATTTCCAACAGCTCGCGCTCCTTGCCACTCACAGCAACGAGATGGGGGCGCTCGGCGGAGGGCATCGTCCAGGAAGATGGGGGGAACTCGTTAGGAGACATTGTAATCCGTATCAATATGTCGTGAAGATGGCGAGAAACTCGAATGAATGTAGTTTATCGTTACCAAGCGACCGCCGACCGGGATGTGGTGGTTGGAACGATTACGGTTGTGAAGCGAGGTTGTGAAGTTGCAAGTTGGTGTTTATATAGGAAGGTAGGATTCGCAGGCTAGGGGCTCTGCTTTGAATGAATAAGTAGTGAAGTGGTCCAGGCCCGAGCCTGAGGAAGGCGCGCCAACAGTGCACGTGTAGTGACCGAGCGAAATCGACCGAGTGAAAGCCACTTTCACAGCTGCCCAGGTACGAAGCAGTAGTTACTGGTGTGAAATGCCGCTTCCGTGAAGACCGCAAAACTTAGAGAAACATTCAAACTCTGAGCACATTGGACAAACCCATTTGCTCCTGCCACACTTTCTGGAAGCCAATATTCCACTGCCACAATCTTTCTGCCTCCTCTTTGCCATAGGCCGTCTTCATCATCGAAGGCAGCAGCCATAGTTTCTCCCACATGTGCTGGACTGTCGCATGTATCGTCTTCCTCTTGAACCTAGGGCTCGCGCCGTGATATGCGAAACATCTCGCCTGACCCATAGGACCGAGTGCATCGAGCCGATCCGCGTCTTGCACGATAGCAAGTTCGAGATATTTCTGGAGCACTGATAACACTGTGGAAGGGTTCTTCTTCTCGTATGTATATGATACATGGGTCGCAATGACTTGGACCTTGTGCGCCACTTCCCTCGAGGCTCCACACTTGATGAGAAATCGTAGACGTGCTGTCTGAATGAATGGATTGCTTGGGCGTGAACATTATGGGCGCGGAAAAGCCTGACAAGAGGAACGGTAGAGAAAGGAAGATTCCGAGGATGATGCAATTATTTTGAGAAGTTGGCAAGGAGAGATGCTGGCAAATTGACTGGAATGTGTATTTGTGATATCAGGGACGTGTGGATATGTGTCGACTCTAAACAGTCACCTCCTGCCTTTGCTTCAAGTCTGCCGCAGGGGGGCGAACAAGTCTCAGGCGTAAGCACAGCTCACAGAGCAATGCAATAAGCTGGGCACGCAACACAGCAGCATGCTGCGGCAACTCGGAAGTGATGCTTGTTATCGCTGGAACTGCTAGGCGGTTGTAGCAGGACACGGTGTTGGTCGACCGACAGCATCTGAGGTCCTGGTCCTAGAGATCTCAACAGCTGTCCACTTGCTCCGCTTCCCGTGAGAGGCGCAGTACTTTTCAGTCCAGAGCAAATGATAGCTCTGATTCTCTCTTGAACTGGACGGCCAGATCCTCGAGTATCTTGGTTCTAGACAAAGCCATCTCTTTCCCCTTAGTCGTCTTCATCATGTCCTTCAACCGGTACAACTTCTCTTCAAAGTGATCAATTCCGCCAGCCAATGTGCGCCCGTTCCCTTTGGCGCCTCCGAAGGCGAAACAGCGCGCAGCACCTACAGCACCGATAGCGTCTAGTCTGTCTGCATCTTGGACAATGGCCAGCTCCGGGTATTTGGACAATACATCTACCACAGACTGAGGGTTTCTCACTTCGTTCGTATAGCCGACATGCTTGACCAGAACTTGGACTTTCCGTGCTAGTTCTTCCGTAGCGCCACGTTCTCGCAGGGCATTGAAAGCTTGGTTCTCTGGATCCTCGCCGGGCTTTGCGTACTTGTGGTCGCCAACATCATGCAGGAGAGCAGCGAGGAAGATAGCGGATGTATCCAAACCTGACTTGGGATTCGCATCGAGCTCAGATTTCAGAAGGATGTTGGCGTTCGAAAGGACGCGTAGAATGTGATGATAGTCGTGAGAATTGTCATGGCCGGGCTGGGACATGTAGTCGTGAACGTAGGCGTTGATAGACGCGAAGAGAGCCTTGTGCTCCTCACGGACTGGCACTGCCGGCACCGCGAGTGAGCGCGTCATTATAAGAGAATTGAAATGAGACGGTATGTGGGAGGAAAAGGGACTGGGGATGGCTGATTGAAACGGCGATTTTGTCGAGTGGAGAATCTGGTGGTGAGAGTCGCGTCCGCGAAACACGCGCTCACATGTCAAAGGCAACTATGCCTCTTTTGTCCCATATTTCTGCCCTACCTCGATTGTCTGCCCATCGAGCATTATACGTAATGAGGAAAAGGATAATAAGACACTATATTCATGTCAGAATGATTTCGACACTTGAAGACAACAATATCTGGTCAAAACCGACGTTGAGTGGATTGCAGTTGCGAGGCCTGTGAATTGGACCTCGGCACCACCAACCGCCCAGCCGTGACTTCATGGCTCCCCAGATTGCGACCCACCAGCCTCCTTCAGCTTCACCTCTGACCCTGCACCCACTGGATATCGATTGCAGCGGTCACGATGTACAGACAAGCGACGCAGAAAACATCAGACGTCCTGTCCCTTCCACCAAGATGGCTGGGGATGTACTCCGAGTTCATCACAAAGAATTCCAGCGCGGTGTCGCAAATCGAGTCGGCGCTGCGCTCCTTGACATATATCATTCCTGGTGCGCAAACCAGCTTGTTTATCATAACAGAGGCAGGGTTAACGTGGTGCAGGTCGCTTTAGAGAGTCTGAGATCGCGTCCGAGTCGCGTAAGTCGAAATCAAGTCCTGCATCATCCGCGCCAACTCACAGTCGTCAGTGCATAGCGGCGTCCAACTTCTTTCCCTATACCATGATTCCCTACTGTCAAAGGCAATGGCACGATCGCCAGCGGCATCGAAACACCATCCTACACCTCACAACCGGTACACCAGGTTCTGGACGGAACGGTCGCCGACGTACAAACGACTCGCGCTGCTCATTCAGATGATACAGCACACCGAACTGTTGTGGGAAATGGTCGCGAAGAGGAAAGGTGAGAAGGCGCGGTGGAGGGTGGTGGTTCTCCTGGAAGTGATCAAAGCCTTCTGTCGATTGCTGCTGTTACGGTTGACGAACTCGAGGCCGCTCCTTTCCCCGCCACTGCCCCAAAGAGAGATCGACCCAAGTACATTGGAGGAATCGACGGCATCAGCAAACGGAATGGACACCCCGCCGAGCGAGAGTTCCGTTGATGCGGAGAATTGGACTATGCCGCGGACAGGGCTGTCGCTGCCGAGCCTCCCCAACTCGTCGGACATTTCGAGCTATCTCCTTTCCAAGGTCCTTACGGCGGACGATATCAAACCTCCAAAGGCATTGCTTCACCGTGTAAGCGGCAAGGGAGAATTGGCGGAAGTGCTTTACATCCTCCGGCCAGTGATATACGCCCTCGCTATGCAACAATTCAGCGGAGACCGGAAGAGTTGGCGCCCCTGGTTGATCGGATTGAGCATCGAATATGGTGCAAGACAGTTGGCAAAGAAGGATTTCCAGGAGCGACTAGCTGGAGGTCTTAGGGGCCTTACGGGTCTTGAGAGGGAAGAGCTTAAGAAGCGTGGCTGGGCTCTCGGATGGTGGATGATGCGTGGCGCTTTCTATGAGAACATTACCAAGTAAGTTTGCTGATTGCTCCCATCATTTTATTTTTCTTTTCTAACAAGCAAGGGCTTGGATACACGCAGTCACGCGGAAGCTTCGCAACAAGCCTCTCTTGGATATCATTGGCGGTGTCATTGAAGACTACGAGTTTCTCTGGGACCAATACTACTTCCCCACGGCGACCATGTAAAATCCATTTCCCTTTGTTTGATACCTAATCTCTCGATGGTCTGACGGGGTCGGGTCTGGGTGGGGCAAAGCCTCACATAGAATTGGGATGGGATAAGCTTCGTATATTGGTTAGTAGGGGATACCCATCTAGGAGCGACATTTGGTTTCAGTTTGTCGGTGGACTGGTTGTGCTATTGAGCTTGGGAGGGATATTGTATACCTAGCTTGTTGTTTTGGAGTTGGATTGGCAATGAACAGAGATGTTCTACTGGGACTTCCGATCTTATATCATTTTTCTAACGGGAATCATTTCTGATCTTGAATTATGAACAACACTTCGTTCTATATGCAGATCCATTTACTCCTGCAAATTGACCACTTACGCACACCTCGCGTGCCTGACGACGATGAAGGTGGTCCGAGCGCCAGAAAGCTCCGACATGGATGCAATCTGATCTATGGGCATCATCATCAACATTCAACCTCCATACTCACCCGCCACCAACAATCTCACCTCCGTCCACGCCGAACTCTCTCGACCGCCCCCACATTCATTCCTCCTTGCACATCGACCCGACCATGCCAGCAACGACAGCGGAAACGCTGTCCCTTGTCACCCGCAGCGTCTCGGTCGCACCACTCGTCCTCCTCTCGGCAGCAGACCACTTCGGGCGGCAAGCAAAAGGGACGAAGAAGCGGGTTGTCGGTGTGCTACTAGGACAGAACGATGGCAAGAACGTGCGGGTATCAAACAGCTTCGCTGGTATGTAGCTCCTAGCCTAGCTCCATGTAGCTCTCTCACGTTTCTCCCCAACAATCGCCCAACCATGATATAATAAACAGTTAGCTAATCACATATCTATGTCCATGTAGTCCCCTTTGAAGAAGACGAAAAAGACCCGTCGGTCTGGTTCCTCGACCACAACTACGTCGAAGCCATGAACGACATGTTCAAGAAGGTCAACGCGCGCGAGAAGCTCATCGGGTGGTACCACACGGGGCCCAAGCTGCGGGGCTCGGATCTGGAGATCAACGAGCTGTTCAAGCGGTACACGCCGAACCCGCTGCTCGTCATCATCGACGTGCATCCGCAGGAGGTGGGCGTGCCGACGGATGCGTACTTTGCGGTTGAGGAGATCAAGGATGTACGTATACCTCCACCCATTTCCTATCAAATTTCTCGAATCATAAGAGCACCAGACTCGGAGGCTAATAAATAATGAATGGCAGGACGGCACAGCAACCTCCAAAACCTTCGTCCACACGCCCTCCCTCATCGAAGCCGAGGAAGCAGAGGAAATCGGCGTCGAGCACCTCCTCCGCGACATACGCGACGTGGCCGTCGGCACGCTCTCGACGCGCATCACGTCGCAGCTGCAGTCGCTGCAAGGGCTGCACCTGCGCCTCCGGGACATCGCGCAGTACCTGCAGAAGGTGCTCGACGGCGACCTCCCCGTCAACCACGCCATCCTGGGCAACCTGCAGGACGTGTTCAATCTATTGCCGAATTTGTCGGCGGCGAGCGCTGCTGCTGCTGCTGCGACGACGGCAGGCGGGGTGGAAGGCGCGGGTGCAGCCGGAGCGGCTGGCGGAGCGGTGGCAGATCAGAGCTCGGAGCTGGCGCGGGCGATGAGCATCAAGACGAATGATCAGCTCATGGCGATTTACCTGTCGAGTCTGATACGGGCGATTACGGCGTTCCACGACTTGATTGAGAATAAGATTCAGAATCGGCAGCAGGCGGAGGAGAAGGAGGAGAGGGAGCGGGAAAAGGAGAGGGAGGGCAAGGAGGGGAAGAAGGGGGAGAAGAAGGAGGGGGGTGGGGACAAGGTGCAGGAGAAGGAGGGGGAGAAGAAGAAGGGTTAATTAAAGGGATGATGGGGCTTGGGTAGAAAGGAGATGTGTATAATACCACACGTTGGCTCTTTGGGAAGGAAAGACAGCGGCACTCGGTATGACGGTGTATGAACATAGGATTCAACACACACCTCAGAGGTATGGCATATAGATCATGTACGACATGAACAAATGACGTTGGTCGCTCCATTCATTCGGCTGCCATATTGCATGTACTCGGATATTACGCTGACTGCGAACCGAGAAAGGGTATCACGCCCGGGTATCATGCTTGGGTATCACAGATATCTTCCATTTCTCCGCAGCCTCCTTATTCCCCTTTGCTCTTCCCTTCTCCCCATCTACTCGTCCCCGTACGTAGAGACTCCTCAATCCCCCCACCCAGCACTCCACCCGACAACCTCCTCGTCCCCGACCCTCCTCTCTTGCACAAATCCAGCGAACAACGAGCACCGCTCGCCCAGCACGCACGCAAGCAAATGCTTACACACGGGGGGCATTCTCATCCTCGCACTCTGATTCACAGCCCCGGCCATGCCACCGCCAAAAATCCACTTCCCCTCTCCTTCTTCTCCTTCCTCTTCCTCTCCTGCTTCATCACCCTCGCGACCCGCACCTCTTCCGACAGTAGCAGCAGCAGCGGTGGGGAAGAAATGCTTAACATCCACATGTTCCTCCCACAGCTCCTCACCGCCGTCACTGTCCGCGAAGCTAGATGGGAATGCGGAAAACGCGAAGGCGGGACACGTGCAGTTCCACGCTGGCAGGCGGACCTGGTACGTCTTGTGCGCCGGGGCTGCAGAAGCCGCCGCGGTCGAAGTGGAAGCGTAGCGGGAAGAGCGCGTATGCACGAGTTGTGCGGAGCGGACGAGGTAGAAGGCGGTTTCGGCGGTTTCATCGGCGGTGGGGCGGCTGGGCCGCAGCGGTGCGGAGGTGTCGTCGGCGATGACGAGATTGGCAGGATGGGCGTGGCGCGCGAAGCTGCGTTCAGAAGATTCTTGCGCAGACGGTCCACATGCATCTGCGTTCGTAGGGCGAGGGACGCCAGCATCGGCCGCATATTCGCCGCCCACAGTTCCATCTCCCTTCTCCTGCTTCTGTGTAGACTGCGTCCCAGCATGCGGCCCTTCATCAATCCCACCTCTCCCCTCTATATCCCCTCCTGACTCATCTCTCGCTCCTCCTGCTTTCCCAACGTGCCCTGCCTCCGCACGCACCTCGTCCCCGCTCACCACCAGCCTCGTCACCAACCCCCGATCCAGCAGCTCCAGCGCCGGCAACACCTCGTTGGGAAAAAGGACATGCAGCGTCAACAGTCGCTTCCTTAGGGCCTCGTCGGCACTCAGTAATGGATTCGAGGGCGATGATGGCGATGGCGATGACGATGTTACCGTCGACGTCGACGTCCGTCCCACGCTAGCGCTAGCGGGATGCAGCGATCCGATAGGAAGAGGTGGAACGGCGGCGTTGACGTCGGAGGTGAGGGAATCGAGGAGGTGGGTCACGAAGGTTGCTGGAGATGCGGAGGCCGATGGGGGCAAGACCGACGACATGGTTGGGCTAGGCTGGTATGGCACAGTGACATGGTGGAGGAGATGAAGCGATCTGGATCGTGACGCACTTCGTCGAGGGGTTAGTAGTTTGATTCAGTTGAAGAAGTAGATAGCATCAACGGCGAGAGCAATGACACACAGAGGCGAGAGACATGAAGATGTCGGGCAGTTGGGGTGAATGCGAAAGAGTGGTGCAGTGGGCTGATGGAAGGTTGAAATAGAGTTGATGATGGGGTATGATTTTAGTGGGGAAGATGTGGACGCGAAGGGTTAGTGTCGCGCTTTGACGCACTTTGAGAGGATGCCGAAGAAGAAAGCTTGCGAGATCCGAGATGGCTCACGATCCGTGGATCGGATTTCAAGGATCACGTGAAAGACAGAGGCTATGACGTCAACGGATCGAAGATGCATGGATCGTATTGCTGGGTGGGTTACAAACATCTGGGACGATTGAGGGCGGCGATGCAGTGTGGGAAATTGATGCCAGGCACAATTGCTAAGTGTGACGAATGTTTTGGCCTCAGATCGTTTGATTGTGTTCCAATGGGTAGCACCGGCACCTCAATTGCTGCTGGATGAGGACGGAATGTTGGGGCTGAGGTATGGCGGCATTGCTGAATCAAGCCAGGCATTGGATTATTGCACCGAGTGTTGGATGACGCATTCACGGTCGTCCGGACTTTGGTGCGGACGTTGCGGAGTAACGGTTTGCAGAGGACGGAGTACACAGGACTTGCGAATCCTGCTGGGTGCGGTCGAGGATGATTGCAAATCAATGCCCAGGCGAACTGCTGTCCGTAGGTTCGGATATTCCGCATGTGGCAAGACTACGCTGGCAAGTCATCAAAAATTGTCAGACCCTCGATATTGCAATTGATAACTTCTCCTACTACACAGTACTGCGGTGGTGAGCTGAAGCAACAGAGAGGTTTGCTTGGAAAAGGAGATGTGAGGACCGGATGATACGACGCAGCATTGGAAGTGTCAGCGTCTCAGCCAGCCAGGAGGCCGCTGTTGTTGGGCGGCAGATGGGCAGCGTGGCACCTGCAGGGTCTTCCCCAGGCCTGCTCTCGGCCTCATGGGTTGAGTGGGGCAGCCAGGAATAGCCAGGAATAGCCAGCACGGGCCTATCATTGTCGCGCGATGCAGATTGACGTGTTGCACATACACAGTAATCGATACTGTGGTGGTCAATTTCCGCTCATCATTGTAGCTATTGTTGCTGTTGTTAAGATACAGCTGTAGCTGCAGACGGCCATTGCGCAGACGCGGTGCAATGGTGGTCCCGAAGCCGACGCTGAGCGCTATGATTTCGGGATGGATAACGGAGGCTAGGCAGCGAGCGATTGCCATAATTGACCGAGTCCGCTGACCCCAGGCTGCAACCTTGGAGCCTCGATGATGAGGGGTGCCCCGCCTATCACGGCTTGATTCAGCGAAGCAGACGAGTGTGGGGACGGAGAGAGCGGGGTGCGTATCACGATAGATGGAGAGCGAGGCTGGACTGCAGAGAGAACCCACGATTGCGGTGATGCCCAATTGTTGAAGAAGGGTAGGAAAAGAGGGCGGCTAGCCCGCCTTCGAGACAGCAGCAGTTATCCAACTGGGATGCTCGGGATGCGGGGTGCAGGGCAGGGGTTGTCGCTTGATGATTGCTATCGATAAGGCACAGAGTGGGATAAGATGGAGTGGTCGGTGAGGGCACTGAGTGGGACATGTGCTCAGCATGACCACGGCCTGGTGAGCATGACCCCCCTTCACCACCTTCACCCACCTGGGCACCTTGTAAACTCCCTTGGGAACCTTCTTTCAGGATCCTCTACACCACCACTGACTTCCCCCCCTCTCCTCGTGAGATGCTCAGCTGCACGTTTGGCGAACCGCGCAGAGTCGTCCACTCATTCACATGCCAGCGCCGATTAATTCCCAGATGGAGAAAGCGTCAGATGGCCGCTCTCCCACCGGTTTCTCCTGCAGGGTGCGACATTGTCAATGCCACACAGTTGTGCCGCTGCAAGACATGCTCGGGAAGGACATGGTCTACTCGCCCTGGCCTGCCTGCCTGTAGCCTGTAGGCTGCTCTCACTGCCGCGTGGCTTGGAGGCGGTGCCGTGTATCACAAGACTGCTCCTCTCTGCTCCTCTTCGCATTCTGCTTCTCAGCTAGCTCCTCGGCGGCTATTCCTGCTCCAACCCCTCTTCTGAGCGTCTACTGTGTACCAAGTCCCTCCGCTGCTGAGGCCCAAAATCAAGACAATTGAAGTCCAATTCCTGACCGCTGAGGTCCAATTGACCATGGCAGACGCCATTAGCCCTTTCAATCGGTCCCTGCCCATGGTGCGGCCGCTTGCGGCCCTTCTACGGCCATAATGTGGATGTAGACATGCGAGTGAGGGCAGCATTTCGGGGACTCTGTGTCGGGCTGCCAACAAAGTCAGCGCATGCTGACGCCTCAATCTAGTACTATAGTATGTCTCTCGTAACTGCGTGCCCGTCTCTACTTGTACATGACAGAATAATGGGGCGGCGCGTTGCGAGGTGTGACACGTGGACGGGGCGAGCTGTCAACTCGCGGCTTCGCGGGGCATGACACCATTGCACACCATTGCAGGCGCAATGAAGGCTGCCATCATACTTGTATTGTAGCAGAGATCGAGCCAGACGGGAGAGTGTCGGCGACGGAATTGATGTCAATGGATGTCAATGGAATGTCGAATATAGATGTAGATGATAGAGAGTTGAGAGTCGGGCCTTTGCGCCAGTCTCTCCGAGCGGCAGAATCACGGCTTCGCCAGGCACACGCGCGTGCACATGCCGACACGACGCTATCATCGAACTTTCACCCTCCTTTCGCCGTCATCAATTGCTCCCACACACACACGCACGCACACCATCGCCATCAAGGTCATCCCCCATCCTTTCGCGTCATCCGGACTCGCAACAGCCGTCAACCCAGTTTCATTGCCAAATGGCCAGAACCGGATCTCCCGCCCTTCCCCGCCTCATTGGACGTGTCGCCTCTCGCCATGGTAAGGCTGCAATTCCGCCCGCCGCCCGTCGCCTCCTCCTGGTCGCCTCCCGGCCGTGGACTAGGTGGACTAGGTACGGTGGTTGCGACGCCTTGACCTGACTGATCTGGCCGGGGACCTGCTGGCGCGCAAACTGGTGAATGGCACATAGTCATAGCCACCCACGACTCCCCCCCATGGCGCCCACCCCTCCCTCCCGCACCAACACCGAACCCCGAATCAATCGATCGTGCGCGCACTGGTGACAAAGCCCTTGGTTTCACCTGCTTTCGCTCCGTCATCCGCCCGCTGCCAGTCTTCTTTATCATCGCAGCCTGGCGCCCTTTGAGCCTTCCCTCACTGCCCGGCTACCTATACAATACCCGCCCTCTCCCCCTTCCCCCCTCTGCTCTCGTCCGCTTTGGCCCTCCGTCTCCCTTAACTCCGCACCCTCCCCTACGGGGCTGGCTGCACATCCTATCCATGTATGTCCTGCCACTCTACACGCTGACCAGCCTGTTTACTAATGTTTCTCTAAGAGTGAGACCAAGGCTATACTGTCGTATTCCTTAGTCTTCCACACATCGTTCGCTCGGCCTTCCACGTCCACTCAACAGCCGCAGTCCGTAAGATAAAGCTGCTGCCTCGCCACCACACAGTCACTGCTTGTGACTCCTCGTCACAAACACTTCCTCCTCCGTTCGCTTCTGCAGTCGATCCCAGCAACTGCCCGAAGCCTCGTTTCCACCATTGGTCTCCGCCACCATGCTTATAGAGTGGGAGTTCCAGTGCTCAGCTCTCCGGAAGCACAACGCTGAGCAAGCCGCCGCCGCCGTCTTCATTTCTCCTCCACAACCAGAGGCACCAGACACATTCGAGGTCCCAATGGACACTCCCCGCCCTCGCACGCCACCCAATTCAATCCTCAAAGACCAGTCCAAGATGGAGGGTGCAAACAACTCTGAGCCTGCCCAACTTCGAACTCCAGAATCCCCCTTGTACAAGGACATTGGCACGTCACCGGCAGCCCCAGGGCGTCCTACCTCGAGCGATGCCGCAGGTCTGAGGGACCCTCCTCTCTTCGGCCTCGACACAGCTGCATCTGCGACAGACCGGCCGCTCTTCTCCTCCTGGGACGGGTCCGCATGGATCCGATCGGCATCAACACCCAAGGAACCCATTCAGTCGACAACTGTGGTCGATGCCGCTCCGACACCAAAGGAGCCTTCGCCAAAGGCAGTCCGAGCACAGCCAAAGAGACCCAATCTGTACAAGAAGCGCGCGTTTCTGGACATGCTCACAGCTGAGGTGGACACAGCCATTCCCACGGGTCGCAAGTTCGCCCTGAAGAATGTGCCTGCCTCGAAGCGTCCACGCATGGAATCCGACCCCGAGCCATGCAATGTAGCATACTCCACCCCGAACGTGGTACCGCCCCTCAAACCCCACAGGTTCAAGAATGTCTCCACCGCTACCAGGCCCGAACTCATCGATCTCTCACGTCCGTTGCGATCAGTAGGCCCATCAGTCCGCCCGTCAGTCCGCCCGTTGGCGCCTATGCGAGGTAATCTTGTCGTAGCTCCCGTCTCTTCCTCGCGGCCGACGTCCTCTTCTTCCCAGTCCGCGGTCAATGTAGCTTCTTCACGGCGCGCCCCATCGCCCGCTCCACCTGCGCCGCGCAGGCGTCAGAGTGCACCAAAACCCAGCTCTGCCGAGAAGGAGGATACTAGTCCGCACTGGTCGACGATTCCAGACTTCACACCTCCGCTCTCGACCCTGGACGACCCAACTGTCGTACTTGAACCACTGAACTGGAGGGGAAAGACGCGTAAGAGCTTTGCTCACCACGAGGCGGTGCCGTATCTGCACCCGAAGGAACTCGTGCTCTGCGAGAAGTTGGCCTTCTGTCCCTTCAAGTACCTCCGCTCCAAACGCCAGATCTTCGAGCGGTTTGTCGCCTGGCACCAGGAGAACGGATCCAGGAAAGTCTTCAACAAGACGGCAGCTCAGGGGGCAACCAATATCGACGTCACCATCGCCAGCGCCTTGCATGAGGCGTTCCTCAAAGCTGGCTGGTTCGACCCCAGATGGTTTGCGAAGTACTTCGACGCTTGAATCAGGGCTGCGCTCGATTATGCCCTTTCAGAAAGCCTTCTCGGCTGCGCGTCACCCTTATTAGGTCATACCAGTATCGTTGTCGATACCTCTCGTCTTTGGATGTCGCATTGGGTACCCATTGGAGTTTATGGTCTTGGTTATTCTGGCTTCACCTTTGCAATCTCTGTTGGCGGGCTCCTACAGCCGACCCAGAAGCTCATGCCGATGGCATTTGGTCCCCGTTTGCTTGCATATCTGCGTAGGATCTAGATTGTTTAACCATCAACGTCACATGGCATAGGGACGACTGATGACTGGATTTTTGTTTGGTTTCCTTTTCAGGTTGTTTGGGATCTGCGCTGCTTACTCCAACTTGCACGAGGCGTGCGGGCCGCGTTCGTCACGGCCCTGATGAGTTACGACGGCCTCCATCTGATACCCAGCGTAGAGAAGCTATTTCTCTGGTCTCCCCGGTCACATTTCGTTTCTCCTTCCCTCCTTGTTTTCTAGCTGGTGGGAAGCTTTTTGTATAAGTATGACTTCATTCAATTGAATAGCATTCATTAGAGCTGTCTGCGTCAAACCGTGAATCTGCATCGCCTTACTGTGTCATGGTGTCCGCCCCTGTCACCATCCTCCGGCACCATAGCCGTACCACTGTGGTATGCATTCGCTCCCTATGTGGTCCCTGCGACGTGGCGTCCTTGTTGGAGACGCGGATGCGATGTGGCGCAGATCCGTGAGCGCTCTAAATTTGGCTGACCCGGGCATGGCGGAGGTCCGGCCGTTTCGGCCGGGGGGTCCTCAAAGTGACAAGCGTCAGCGTGAACCTCACCTAACGACAAACCAAAGACCCCGACAACATTTCCGAATCTCTGTACATCCCGCGCAACACTCAATCCTGCGGCGCGAAGAGCGCAGGCCGAATCATGACGCAGACACAGACCGTCGAGCCTGCGGACTCGATCTCCAGCCAGGACCCTCACGCGGAAGAGAAGAAGAAGACGAAGAGCAGAAGGCCCGCAAGTGAGTGATGCATGGAGCAACCGTGAACGAGACGACGCTGACCTGCTGTAGATACTGCCTTTCGGCAGCAGCGGTTAAAGGCATGGCAGTACGTAGCAGACGGAAGCATGAGTCCAAGCCGACACACTGACTGCAGGCGACAGGCCGATCCTCACCCCTAAGACGGTGCTCCCACTCTTCTTCATCGTTGGCATAATATTTGCGCCCATAGGCGGCTTGTTGCTCTATGCAAGCTCACAAGTAAGCAGCAGTCTCTGCGATATGCGTATCTCCCGTATTGATTGCGTCGTCTTCCTAGGTGCAAGAGATGTCCATTGACTACACCGAGTGCAGCCAGCGCGCCCCCCTTACCCACCCGAATCCGACCGATCCTTCCTCTGTCCGCGAGGATATAGACCCCAAATTCGTGTCGAGCACATTCAAGAACAAACCCGCTACGTCGCCCCAATGGGGTAGAGCAAAAGACAACTATACATGGCCGAGGACAGGTGTTACCGAGCCGGATGTCGACGTGTGCATCCTGAGCTTCGAGATCCCAGACCATCTGGAACCCCCCGTCCTGTTCTATTACCGCTTGACCAACTTCTACCAAAACCACCGTCGATACGTGAAGTCGCTCGACATCGATCAGCTCAAGGGCAAGGCGCGCGATGCGGCGGCCATAAAGGGTGGCGATTGCGATCCGCTCCGCGTCGGCCCCGGCGACAAGCCCTATTATCCATGCGGACTCATCGCCAATTCCATGTTCAACGACACATTCGACAACCTGACGTTCGCCAATCCGCAGGGCAACCAGGGCGACGCGCCCACCTTCTACAACATGACGGAGCGAGGCATCATCTGGAGCACGGAGAAGGAGCTCTATGGGAAATCGGCCTACAAGCCCGATGAAGTGCTCCCGCCGCCGAACTGGGCCAAGCAGTATCCCGAGGACGGGTACGCCACCGTCGGGCTCCCGGACCTGCACACCTGGGAGGCTTTCCAGGTCTGGATGCGGACTGCGGGCCTTCCTACATTCAGCAAACTGGCAATGAGGAATGATAAGGATGTTTTGAAGAGTGGGACATATCGTCTCAAGATCTACGATAGTAAGTCGTTTTTTTTTGTTGAATATACATATTAGACTAGGGCATCGCTGACGATGATACAAAGGGTTCCCCGCCGAGCAGTACGGAGGCAGAAAGGCGATCCTCATCTCCACCCGGACGGTCATGGGCGGCAGGAACCCGTTCCTCGGCATCGCGTACATTGTCGTTGGGGGGCTCTGCATCCTGCTAGGCGTGCTGTTCACGGGTGCGCACTTGGTTAAGCCGAGGTCAGTCTGGCAAGTCCTGAGTACGGTGATAGTATTGCTGACTGTGATGTGCAGGAAATTGGGAGATCATACATACCTCTCGTGGAACAATGATCAGCCCAGCACGGCGACGGCTACGGGACGCGCGCCGAGGCCGGGGGATACGGCGTGAGCCTTTTCAGACCATTGATGAATGTCTTAGATGGAGCTGGGAGTTTTATTTTTTGGCTTGTTATATATTTCTTTGCCTGTCTGGGTGGAGTTTTTTTAAGGGTGTAAGATTGGTCCCTGAGGGGTCTCTGGAGTTTAGGAGTTTTCGCTTCACACACATATCGTCAATTTGATTCTCTCTGCATTTTATGTGAAGTAGATTGTGCTCTGCCTTGGTTATGCGCGCGTGATGAGGTCTTGAAGTTTTGCCCAGTCTGGTGTGGCTCTCGACTGGATTAATAGGGCGTGCCCGCTTCGCTTTCGTGGGATTGGGACGGGGGCTTTTGAGGAAGATGGCGAGGGGAGGTGGGAGGTGGGAGGTGGGAGATGGGAAGCTGGGAGGTGGGGAGGGGGGTGCGATGTCTGGTGGAGGAGGGCAAGTAGGAAGAGGGGGAGTGTGTGGTACGAAGGAAGCCGAAGAGCAGAGGAAGGGAAACAGAGAAGTGGAGAAGAAAAGAAGGGAATAAGGAGGGTTGTGTTGTTATGCGTTTCGATAGGTTTAGGTTTTTGGGGTAGTGGGGGATCTGGGAAGGGTATTTATCCCTACTGCATCTATTTACCTAGGTACGCACTTGTCGTTCTTTTGTAAGGGTTCAATTGGGGAAATATATTTCACATCGATTCTACTCTCTCTTCTCCACCGATCATTTAGGGGGTGAAATAAAGTGGAAAGTAGCAATCGCGAGGTATGCCCTGTCATTGCTCCCAAGTGCATCTGCGAAGACTCGCATCCCTTGGTAATGAGTTGGGGTATGCACACGCCACGCATTCGTAACCTTGGGTTATGCGGTAAAAGGATGAAAGCGACAGGAACAGGAAGGACCGATATGTAGAAGTCAAAAAGCTAGGGCGAAACCTTGAAAGCAACCCTTGGGAAGAAGAGGTCCCACATGACGCTCCTCTCTCCCCCTACATGTCTAATCTGAACCGGTGGAACTACCTCTGGCAATGCTGCTGGAATAATACTAACTCCAACCTCCTACATGCAATTAACGGCGGGGGGCAGACAAAGAACCTACTTCTCTAGCTCTGCCCGGGCGGGACACCAAATAAATACGCCTTCCGCATCCGGGACAAAGGCGTCGAACGCGGAAAAGGGTTAGCATGCAAACGAGTGGGATAAAGAACGGGAGAGCTTACGGGAGGGGAGGGGTTATGTTATGATTGTTTGCGCGATTGGCGAGTGGGAGATATATTGGGGTTTTATGTGCACTTGGTGAGGAGGGTCGAGGTAACGAATTCAGCACTCTCGGACGGGACTACGGACGTCGTGAGAGATACACTATAGGGAGTTGGTGAGGTGGAGTCAACGGCTCGTTTGCTGTTTCCTGACTTCTCGGGTTGGATTGGATAGGGGTATCGAAAGCAGGCGGTGGGTAGGGAGGTGGAAGCGTCGATTCTGCGCGAGTTGGGATTGAATGAGGCGGGGGAACGAGTGGGATCAGCATTGGACGCACTGCTTACTACCCTACGCTCCTACTTTTACTCAGGCAAGACCTTGGGGATTCCAGAGACCGAATTGAAGAGTGGGCACCTGGATAAGGCATCCCGAGCCTTTCCAAATACCATCCAGCTCGAAGGTCCACCCGACTGAGCGAAGGAGCGAAATCGAAGAAGGCGGACGCAAACAACACACGAATCAGTTCGCAAACATTCATCCCTACGACTTTTCCTTAATCTACCTCCTCGTCGACAAAACACCCATTTCCATTCCTCCAGACACCGTACTGCGCGCTCCCATATCCTCGACCCAACTCGATGACTTCCACGCCGCACATCCCGCACCTCTTCCACAACCCGCTCAACAACAACAAGGACAGTAACAAACGGCACAGCAACCACAGCAACCACGTCCTTACCCAGCATCCACACATTGCACAACCCAACCATCGCACCTCCTCCCCCTTCTCATCCACCCAACGCCCAACAACCCAAACCCCACCCCCACCTTACTCACCTTACAACCCGCATCCCCCTCCCGTTCTCGGAGCAACAGCACCCGAGAACCAACCTCGAAACAAGGGACGACTGGACAGGACAAAAGACGCACTGAGGCGCACGTTCGTATTGCTCAAGGCGCGGCCTGAGCGGGCGGAGATATCGGGTTTGTCTTCCTCTTCGCGGCCGGGTTCAGATATTTGATGGCGCAGTTTTGGGAGTGGGTGGCAGGGTGCGTGGAGAGGTTGGAGGCCTTGTTTGGAGGTTACATGGGGGGAAGAGGGAAAGTAAAGGGAATGGTGGTGTATGCGTGTGTTGTGGGTGCAATTTGGTTTGCCCTCCTGCTCATATGGAGTAGAAGGAGGAAAGCTGAGGATTCGCATACCAAACAGTTCCCGTCCGAGGACAAAATAGGCTCATCAAAATCGGGAGGCTTTAACGCTGAGCAGGAAAAAAGGAAACGTGGGGGGACTGAAGAAGTAAAAGCGTTGGCAAAGAGAAGCGGGACCGGAAGTATGGAGAGGGGAGAACTGGGAAAGGAATGGGATGGAGATGATGATGGACCGGATGTGAAAGATACTTGTGTGTTGCAGTGATTAACTGATCGTTTGAGATATTCTTCTGAATCTAAATGGTTGTCTGTATTTCTCGGCTTGCGTTTTGATACTGAAGTCTCTCTCACTCTGCACTCTCGTGTTGTAGGCATGCCTGCCCAGGCCTCAGCCCAAGGTGTTGTCGTCCGCCAGCCAATCAGGCCCCGCCCTTCCCTCTCGGCCGAGTTTCCCAAACTCGCGCTCGCTCCGGTCTCACGTGCCTTCCCCACCTGCTGAGTCATCCCCATGCACGGCCCCCACCAGCGCAGTATATAAACCGCTCCCTCTCCCGCCCTCCTCTCTCTTCCTCATACTTACCTTGTTGGGGCTGCCACGATCAAGAAGGTGGTCGGCCAAACGAGATCGCCTGCATTGCACAACGCGGAGCGGTTTCGTTTTGAATCTCCTTCGGGGGCTTCACCGGCGTAATTTTTGCTGGCGTTCTGTTGGGAGAACTCTCTCTTTTTGCTTTTCATTGATCGCGCTGCCTGGGGCGGTGGGTTGAGGAAGGGCTTTTGGTTTTTGTTGAATCTTTGCGATGGTTTTGATGCTCTCTTGTGTCGAGTTAGATCTGTGGCTGTTGCCGTGGTGAGAGAAATTGCTGAAGGCTATACTGAAGCTCTGGTGTGCATTCTCGTCAGAGATTTATCTAACACTATCTGACCATTCGCATGGCTTCCTCTCAAAGCTGTCGCGCCTTGTCTACATGTCCGGCAACTGTTCCTCATCTTCAGGCCCTGTGAAGAGTCTTCTCGTGGTGCGTACTGCCCTTTCCCGCGGAAGCTCATAGCTCTACTATCTACATAAATAACTTCATCCTCTCCAGCTGTAATGTGAAGAGCCTCGTCACCGACAATCACTTCTCCTTCTCGCAAAGGCTCGCAGGCCCAACTCGCTCCCTATATAGTGTATCAAGATCCAAAGCTATGCCGTGCTCACCCACCCTTTCCAGGCTCAATGGTATCCTTCTCCATCTCCACAGCGGCATCCCCATCCCCCTCACCCCCTCCCTCCGTCCCCTCCGCTGCCTTCGCCTCCTCCAAAGCCCTATACTTCCTCCGCTTCTTCTTCTCCGCACTCGCCTTCTTCCTACTCCTCTCCCTCGCCTTCACCCTCGTCCTCGCCTCATCCCCCAACATCAGCTCCTCCACCCTCTCCGCCAGCGTCTTCCGCGCCAGCTTGCGGTTCTGGCTGCGCGACCGCGTCTCCTGGCATTTCACGACGATGCCCGTGGGGAGGTGCTTGAGCTGGACGGCGGACGAGGTCTTGTTGATTTTCTGGCCGCCGGGCCCGCTGCCTTTGAGGAAGTTCTCTTCGATGTCGCTGTCTGGGATGACGAGGCGAGGGGGAAAGTGCTTTTGGAGGTTGAGGGATGTGGTCGTGAAGGCGCGGATGGGGGAGCGGAGGTGGGAGAGGGACGAGGGGGAGGAGGGAAGGCGGAGGGGAAGTCGGAGGAGAGAGGGAGGTAGCATGAGTGGCGGTTAGGGCTGGAGAATGCTGGAATGGTTCATTGTAATGGAATTGGATACAGAAAGCTTCCTGATACCCCCATATCTCGAGCTTCCGATGAGCTTGATGAGCTCCTCAAGCACCGCCACATGGTGCGCCACAATTGACGCCACGGCCTCCCAAGTGCCCAGGTGTATCCGACCCCTGTCACGTTCAGATTCGAGCGCGGACCCCTTCATCACTCTTTCCGTTCTCACTGATTCCAGCGTGCAATACTGTGTAGATACATATCCTACCACTTCACTCGCTGTTGCTGCCGCGCAATTGATTCTGATTCACTACTCTATTAGCCTCCCTCCGTTTTGGTCAATTCGTGTAATCCAACACAACCATGCTCGACTCAACCTCCATCTCGACCCTCATCCTCCTCAGCGCAGCCTCTCTCCTCCTCCTCATCGTCATGCTCCACCCCTCCTCCCTCCTGCGCTGGCTCCAGCGCAAACGCTACCAATACGAAGTCACCTACTCGCTCTACATGCTCACGCCGACGGAGAAATTCATCTTCAGTACGAAATTCCCCCAACCCCTTCTCAGCAATTGACAGGAAGAATGAAGAGACCATTGCTGACGTATATGTTTGTAACAGACTCAATACTCTTCCTCCTCCTCTCCCTCCTCATCATCGCCGCCTCCCTGTACCTCCCCGAGCACGTCCTCATCATCACGAAACGCATCCTGTACTACTTCTCCGGCGACGAGCAGACGCTTTCCAAGGCGGTTGCGTCGGCTGGGGCGTCTGCGAAGCGTAGAGCTGCAGAGGTGTTTGCGTCGAGTAGCTAGATCTGCGTCAGGTTGAGATGGGTCTTACTGGGAAGGGACGCCGCTGCTGCTGTGGAAGTGAGGGATTCGGGTTGTGCATGGTTTGGGAAGAAACGAAGATGGGAAACCGGCTTTTTGAGAATCCGCCGTTTGCTAAACGTCCACGAGTGGTGTCGTTGTCAAAAGGAAAGCAAGAGGAGGATATGAGAAGCCAGACACGCGTGTCAATTCCCTCAAGGCATCCAAGCGGAGCAAAATCACTACGCCTATTTCTGCACAGTCTACGACCTGGTATCCCCCTACCCGGTCCTCATCCTTCCGGAACGGCATATCTTCCCGCAACAAACTACAAAACCACGTTTACTTTTTTAAATCACATCCTCGTAGCGCAGCCTGCAGCGCACGGCATGTCCAGCCATGCTTCTCATCCTCACTGGGATACTCAGCATCCGCGTCAGCGGAGCCGAACCTGGATCCTCTTCTCCAGCGTTATATTTGCTCTTTGCATCGGATTCGGCCTTTTTGGGTATCCGGCATTTTTCTGTTCCTTTCTGTCTATGGGCTTCGGAGTGTCAAGACTGGGGGTGTAGGCGGATGAAAGGGCATATTTCACTTCCCCCGTATTCGAATCCGCTTGGAGTGCACTTACTGTAATAATGTTATCTGGAGGGGATCTACTGAAGCCCCTTTCTGCCACTCATGAGCTGTGGAGGACGACGTTGGCTGAGGAAGAGGCAGGGTGGCCTTTTTCGTCTCGAGTGTAATAAAGCGGGGGAATGGTACCGGTGTATACATTGGCATTCATGGTTATAGATAATAATGCTGGTAATGAATGAGGATGGATCATACTCTACTGAAGCAAAGCACGGATTCGATCGTTACATCTGAATAAAGTACGTGTGTGGGACTTGCGTTTCCTCGACTGCCGTCGATATCAGATGAACTGCCTACCCCTATCACTTGCTGTTGCGTAGAGCTTCTCGATACCACGTCGGAAGGACCCGATCATGTTCACCTCTCCATCCAACCCAAATCACATCATACACACACACTCCCTCTAGAGCTCCGCTCGCATTCTCGCACCGAACTGAGTCACTGCCTCGCCGCCTTATTAGAGGGTATATACCGCATCCCTACCCAGTTATCATACTACAATGGCTTATACCGTTACACCACCGTTACTATAATACCTGCATTATACATATCCCCCGACCCTATGGAACATCAATCGAAGCCTCATGGAAGTCCCATGGAAGCCTCACGGAAGCCCAACCTCCCTCTACCGTCATCAATCCCATACAACGCCGTGTATAACGTGTAACGTGCAGTGTACCTGCGCCGATTGCTTCCCTTGGATCTTCGCTCGTATATCGCCGTGCCTGTAGACTGGGTCTGAACGAGGAGCCGCTGAGGGGAGGAGTTAGGTATTCAAAGAAAGGGGTGTGATAGATAGAGGGAGATTTTCTGCCCTCCCCAATGTGGCGTGGGAGGGACTCGGTTGGAGGGAAGTGGGTGATTGGGGGTGCAAGATGTTATTAGCTGGGAACGGTGATATGCGTGGAAGCGAGTGTATCTTAATGTCGTTAGGGTATACGTGAAGGGTGTACTACTGGGAGGTTCAATGCTTGAGACGTTTCGATGAGGACGCCGATTCGTAGACATGGCGAGGCGTTGTTTTGAATGGGACGTTCATCGCCGGTATATGGGAAGCAGAAGGCGGCGGTAGAAGGGGTGAGCAGGTGGCCTCTAACTGCTGTGACCATATTGGCGAGTCTCCGGTGAATAGAGGTTGCACCGAATACCCTCTTACGATCTTTAGTTTGTGAGTATCGTATTGCGCAGGACTCCAAAATCGGTCTATTTAAACGCCCAAGTGTCTATATATCCAAATGACATAGAGAGTCAAACTAGAATACGGTGAATCGAACAGAGTCCAAGAAGAGAAAATAACAAGTTCAGAAAGCGTACTGTACAGCGTTGCGTTGCGTTGCGAGACGTATGGCAATCCCCATTTATCAAAGATCGCAGCGTGAGAAGCTCGGGGCATTTGCTCAGCGAATACCTTGTTCCCTCACTTCCCGAATATCCTGTGCACAGCTCCCTGCAATGGTCTAGGTGTGTAGTCTTCGCAGGTGACGAGTACCGGGAAGGCCTTCAACGCCTCTTCGTGGCTGTAGCGAGCGGCACCATTCGTGACCAATAGTACAACAACGGGGACATTTGCAAGATCCGAGCTGGTTTGTACTTTGTTTTGCAAGTCACTGGCGAACCTGGCTTGTTTCTCCAGAGCTCCGGCGTTGCGGCTGGTGATGTTTTCAGTGGCACACACCACCACGAAGATGGCGCCTGCGGACGAAAGATGGTCTCGATGCGTTTCCGTCATTCCGATATCCAGACGGTATGGGACATGACGGACCAGTCCTGGCAGCGCTCTACCTAGCGGCTCAAAAGGGTCCATATCTTTTGCGAGGGTCGTTGACGGCGGGTGCGGGACCACTGGCGTGAAGAGGGTGACAACCTCACGGTCTTTAAGATGGCGCAGTCGGCGGAGGGTCGATGCTGGACATCGCACGATAGCGGCAGTTGGAGTAGTTGAGGACGAAGAACTCATCTTCCTGGAGCTGGAATGATCCTTGTTCAATTTTGGAGAGGCCCGGCTCTTGCGTTCACCCATGAATGGAGAGGGTCCTTCGAATGACAGTACTGCAGTATGGCCGTCCCGGAAAATGCAATGACGGACTGGCGCTGGATTGGAATTGAGAAATGATGACCGTAACTCTTTCAAAGGCGACGGCGTTCTTCTGTCTTTAACGGACCGCAAGTGACGTCTACCCAGGGACGACCGCATCTGTCCAATATGGTCTGCTAGTGGATCGGATCGTTGCCTCCAGTCCTTCCAAACAATGATTGACCCAAACAGGTATCGTCACTTCGAGGGCAGTGTTTCAGATACACACATGAATCCAGACTGGAGACTCTCCAACTTGACACATCCACTCAATTTATGAACCAAAGCTGATATGTTAAGTGCTGGCGGATCGCAAAACGGGCCGTGGCCTGGTTGAAGATTCCTGCGATGACTCTCGAATGGTCAAGTAGATTAAGGAAGACCTTGACCGGATATACCGTCAATAATATCGAGCGTGATGATAATGGTGATACGACATAACGAGGAACAAGAGGGAGATCGCTGGGCACTTATGTGGGCGGATTGTAAAGGACACAAAGAGATAGGAATTCACCCGCAACGGCAGGGTGTTGCTTCCAGTCACCAATGTACTGCTGACACAAGGCGTTTGCGGTTCAGCGTGGCGTTGTGACACCAGCAGGATTCAAGTTCACCTGGCAGTAGCTCGTCTGTTGAGTTGGAAAGGTTGACGTTGGGTAGCAAAGATACCGCGCATGGTCTGCCGTCGGACAAGCAGCCGAGACATGCCTCCATGGTGGCGATGGTAGCAATCATTCGGAGCATCGGGATTGAGCGGTCGAAACACGGACAGTGGGTCAAAGCTGCGGCTGCGAAGACTGACTGGTGTGATGGAGAGGACATCCTCATGACCGATCCCCTTGGCCGGCCCGCAAGACGACGGCACCCATGCCGCAGGCTGACGGACAGGCCAGTAGAATGCAAGCAAGCAGCCAGTAACCCGGGTTCGAGAGATACATACGCCATATGTGCGGCATTGTCAATATGTACGACGCCCGGGGTTCTTGACTTTTCGAGTCCGCCTTGCAGCCAGGTGTAGCGTGAGGGGACAGTGGGAATTGCATTGCTGAGCCCGCCAGACAGATGACCAGTCAGAGTGGGATGCTGGTGGGAGTACTGCGCGACGGACGACACGGACCTTCAGTAGATGCTTTCGCTGTGCAACATGGCGGTGTATATAGTTTATGGGATGTTGTGTGCAAAGCTGGGAAGGCTGTAAATGGCGCCCAGTGACCAGAATGCCATGCAAGTGACTGCTGCAAGATAAAGTGCGTCGATTGGGCGTCCATCGGCGAGTCGCGGGAGGGCGATGATGCATGTTCCCGACTGAGAACCGGGGTGCCGGTCGAGTCAGGGAAATCAAAGCGGCGAGCGCGGCAGGGACTACCGTCGAAATATCAATAACGGCTTCAAGAGTGGCCGGAGAATGTTGCTATGTAGAAGATGGTGTTGAGCGCGGGTAGTGAATAGGAGGAGGTCGTGTTAGGCGTAGGGGAATGGACTTCGAAAGATCCGCGCTAGTCCGTTCTAGGCTAGCCGCAGCACGCGCAACGCGACCTCTACCTAGGTATACAACGACTCCCTCCAGTGCTGACAACCTCCTTCGCGGCCTGCATAGAGTAGAAGAAGCGTGATGTCCTCCGCCATTGGTCGCAGTATGTACATGATTTCTCCGCATGCATCTACGGCCAACAACAGCTGATCCATCTCGTAGCCGAGCATCCCGTTGGTGTGCAAGATGCTGTCGAGGCATTAGAAAGAGGTATGCTAGGCTACCCACCAGCATGATCAAAACATTGCTGACAGCCGCATGCAGCATGTGCTATTCCGGCAAAGCGACGAGCAGTAAAGGTATCCGGCATCGTCGATACGATCTGCCGTCATGCATTTGAAGACGGACTCAATACAGATGACCTTCGGGCCGTCGTACGGGTTATATCAAGAAAAACAGAATTAGATCAAAGCAGTGTAACCAGCTTGATTAAGAACCTGTACCCTGCGCAGAGAGTGGCCGAGGACATCGTGGTGACCGTTGTAGGGGCTCTTGGTCAGGGGAAGGGCAAGCCTTCGTTGGGTACCCAGAACGGCCTTGTGAAATGGCTTGTCACCGTGCACAGCATTATCGACCGTGCCAATGTCCTCTCTCGTTTATACGGTGTCCTGTTTGGGATGCTGGATATGATCAGTATCAGGTACGTGTGTGCGTCCCTTAAGTGACAACAGTGGCAAATATCCTAATTTTGATAGAACCCCTTTGTGCCATCTACTGTCCCTCATTACTCGCCGGAGGCATGTGAAACCCTTCAGAATTCAGCGATTGTGCGTCCCATTGCATTCACAGTCCCATGATGTCCTCGCTTACCCAACCTAGACTTGAACTATCTCGTGGATTGAGCAATGAGCCTGCCCTCCAAGGTCTGCTCCGCGTCTACAAAGATTACTACCCGGACATCATTCTTTCGAACACCTCAACGAGCCGTAACTCTTTTCCTCCGGTTAGTAGTGTTTTGCTCTATTCCTGGGTGGCAGAAACGTGTTGTTACTACTGGTCTGGCTTCCAGCATACGTGAAACAGTCGCTAACTCGAGCAGCGTCCCGACTCTGAATGGCAGAATAGGCTTCGAAGCATCATAGAAGCCAGTGCCATTCCGGATGAGGCCATTTCGGAGCAGCATCACGGCTTCCGCTTATTGAGAAGAAAATATAGAACGGGTAGAGAGGCAGTCATCCCTGAGGCACATACCTTCAAGGCAAATGAGGTATAGACCACGACACGTTCCTCTTGATCACAACGGCTTACATTTTACGTCAGGCTTCTGTTACGCTCGAGGAGGTTGATAGCGTAGACGACTTCATCGGGAGGCTAGAGAGGATCGAACCTCCGGGACAAATGGTCTCTTTCCTCGCAGACCCCCTACTCCAGAAATATGTGGACTTAAGACCAACCCCGATATCCAACAACCGCATAGATCTATGGCTTGCAACGTCCCTAGAGGAGGAATACAACAGTGCACAATCTGCGATGGATTCCACGCCAGAGTTTGCAGAACTCCTTCAAAATATCCACAGGCATACCCGTTATACCAAGGTGGGATGATGTGACTTTATCAGAGAGCTTCACTAATATTATCAGACTATCCGCCCGGTTGTTTTGAGGTTCCTCGCCGCTTACCTTCCAGTGTGGGACGCAGTAACCGGTTTCGATGACTTGCTTGGCATCTTGTCATACATACCCATTCAGTCCTTTCAAAGTACGTCAACACGTCCCATACACGGGAAGCGACTGATTGTGTGCAGAGGCGTATGGGACTTACTTTACCCCTCTGGAAAAATCATGTGCCAATGGCAATCCTTCATCATATTCAAAACTCATAACATTTTACGAAAACCTCATACAGCACTGGACAGACCAAGTTCTGTCTTTCCAGAATCCGTCCAAGGATGACATGTCAGCGCACCGCAGAAGTCTGGAGGACCTAGCCACCCACGTATCTTCGATTTGCTTGTCATTAGCCGTCTCACTACCAACAGACTCTGGCTCACCGCTCCTTATGGCTGTACTAGGCTTCTATGAGACGCTTTCAGGTGTTCCTCAGGACACTATAGTGCCAATCCTCCTTCCTCCTCCCCACCTATCCTACCTACTTGCGCAAAGTGCCTCCACGACAACCTTTTCGCGTATCTGCGGCATATATGCAAGTTACAAGGGTGCCTTCGACAGACATCCAAAGCCGATTTCAAACTACATCCACCACGACACCACAACATCGTTCAATTCGATCCTTCGAGACCTATACAATTCTCTATGGGGATCCAAAGCCCTGCAGGTTACGGACAATTCTCCCGCCTTCTTCTGCACCCCAGCACTCCGAGATTCACTAAACAGCTGTCTCAGCGGCATTGAGCCTGAATATTCCGTTGGAATAGCATTCGGCTTGTCGAACAATGCCTGGCTCGCTTCCCTCTCGGCGGCTGCATGGTGGTCTCTGGAGGAAGGCGAGATGGAGAGACGCGGATACGATCGCGATGCAATGAGGTGGCATAAGGGCCCTGTCTCACAGAAGTCGCTCGAGTCGCTGAGCAAGAATGGGGGCGTCAGTGTCCCGCTGCTGGATTACAAGAGGTTCGTTCTGGAGTGGTTGGCTGCGAGGGGTTGTGGGGGATTTGCAGAGTTGATGTATGCCACACATGCGAAGTTGAGGAGGTGAATACTGAAGGGCACATCCTTCTGGTAATGCATGCGAAAGTCTGCACACGTGACTATGAAGCCCATTCCAATGCAAGGAAATAGGACAGGATAAATATTGGGGGGTCTTAGACAGTTGTGACGTTATAATACAGAAGGGTCCAACTAAGCCTTTGCCATGTACTCTCCTCGGATCACCACACCAACACTCCACAGTTCCTTGAACCCTCAGTCGTACGTTCTCTCAGCGATTGTGTATTGGAGTGCATCTTTGAAATCATCAAACTCACATCTGTGCTTTATTTCCCCTCTTCTCGGACCGAATTACCTGTCGCTGGACGCGTGGCGCCTTCCCAGAATCCTTATCGATAAGGGCCATAGTAACATGTGCATGTATAAAGAATACGTAGTCGTGCGGTCCTTTCACGATCGGATGTCGTCGTGACATCGCACCAAACGTCACATGCAGACTTGTATATAAACCTCTCATTATTCTCTAACATGACACTTCATTCACCATGGCTACCACCAAATTCGTCTCGTGTGACCCGAGAGGCGTGCATCTTGGTTCTGAGAGGGTATGTATATCCATATAGCTACATGACCTGAATACTCAACGAACCCCTCTCCATACTTTCCATAGCCAATCCCGTACCCTCCCGTCCACTCAGCCCAAACCACGCAACGGGTTTCTAACGAGATGCATACTGATCCTAGCAGTTCCCTGGGAACACTGAGAAACCCCGCCTGAGACCGTGGCGATGCGAATTGACGGCCTGTTCTCGATACACTAACTTCTACTTTGTGGCACATGGCAAAGTCATATCTGTCTACGAACCCCTTTTTGGAGACCAAGCTCTCGGCTCCCCTGTGATCGTTTTACATCCTCCAGTTTCGGTCCCGGCCCCTCAAGGCTACATAGACCCACGCAACCCTCACGACATCGACAGGTTGCACGTCGACTACCTGGGTCGTAAAGAGGTATTACTGGTTGCTTGCGATGACGGGGACGTTGTCGGGTACTACGTCTCCGCAATCAAGAACGCTGTTGAAGGACGGACTCCCGGTGCTCCCGTCCAAGAACCTCGACCTTTTCTGCACACCAATGTCAGGTTATCCGCCTGGGGCCTGTCCGTTCATCGTCGAGCCCGACTCCTTGCCATCAGTTCCAACACTGGAATCATCACAGTCATCGCCTTCGCGCTCGCCAGCAACAATGGCGACGGTGGGCGGGCCCATTCGGTCAAAGAGTTCAATGTCGGTCACAACATCCCTTTCATATCCTTTAATAACAGCGGCACGGACCCGGAGGGTAGATGGCTTCTCAGTGCATCCATTAGTGGGGACGCTCAACTGTGGGATCTCCACCGCTCAGGGGAGCAAGGCCCAGTTCTAAAAGCACGGCTCGACTCCTGTCAAGAAGACAGGCCCACTTGCATCTGCTGTGGAGAAGATACACATCACACGTGGGGTGCGGCATTCATTGATTCAAATCAGTGTCACGAGGCCAAGTCCTTCAATGATGCTTTTGGCGGACAGCCCTGGGGCCCGCAAGTCGGCCATCATGTGTGGGATATCTCAGAGTTGAAAGAAGTTCGGGCTCACCGATTTCGGCCCGACGCTTACCATAATATTACGAATTCCTTTGGCGTTGATATCGATTTGAGCGGGGCCCTAGACTTCGCGTCGGACGACTCCGGGGCACCCGAAACGGACCTGTTCGTGACAGAGGATGAGCATATGGAAACCGACCTTGCTGAGGACGTTGAAATTACGGAAAGCGGAGGAGCTGGGCATCCGGACGAAGAAAGGAGGATCCGTTGGTTGGACGAGAAGAACAAAATCCGCTGGTTACACTCTGACAGTGAGTCGCCGGATCCGTACTCGGATTTGGATTTGGACGAGCGAGACGAGCCAGGAATACTCGGAATTACATGCCCAACCCCAAAGTATATCCCAACAGCAGCGCCTGTAGATGCCTCTCAAATTCTGCAAGGTTGGGCGGAAGAGATCCAGGTAGGGAGCGTACGTGAAGGCTGGGAATATCGCGGGAAACTGAGCTTTCGTCTCCCATCTGACCTGGTCAGTTCCCCTCTCTTCCTTAATCTCTGGGAAATGTTAACCCTTGTACTAGGCCATGCCTTATTGTCCGTACATCATCGTCTGCAAAAACGAAGTTTACCTTTTCCAACCCGGCAATCCGGCGAGTCCCTCTACCTACAGCCTCGCCAACCTCCGTCCCATTATCGCAGCGCCCGAACCTCTGAAACCTCCCGACACACTGTCTTCCCACTGGGACCGCATGAACTACTCTCTCTACATTGCCGAATTGGGAATATTCCTGGTCGCCGCCCCCTCGGGACGCTGCGCCATCTTCACGCTGACGCAATACAATATCCCTGTTAAGGACAGCCCAAATCAAACCAAGACCATTTATGGCATGAGGCAGGATTACACACTCCCTTTTAAGGAGCAGGAGGAGCAGGACCCGAGGTTTAAAGATTGTTGGAGGAATGGGCGTGTGCTTCTGGTCGGCATTGCGGCGGGACCCGCGCAGGGCTGCATGGATAAGGAAGAGGATGAGAGAGGCAGTGGCAGTGAAAGTGAGAGTGAGGAAGAGTGGCATGGACCGAGGCTTTGGAGGCTGTTCTTGCATTATTCCGACCATACCGTCTTGACGTATGAGCTGGTGCGGAAGGCGAGGGGGCTGGAGCAGGATTGGGGGGTTTTGCCGGCTTGGTAGGGGAGGTATTGAGCGCCATTCTTATTCTCACTCTAATTTGGGAACGCTCACGTTCTGAACTCTGTAGAAAACAGAGGGAAGATGAATTGAGATTCAGATTCGGGAGATACTCTTTTCTGTCTCCGAGACGGTAGGATTGTAGGGAGTAATAGCGCTAAGGAACCACTCGTTATGAATCCTTTCAATCAATACCTTGTAGTAATTGTGAAGACATGAGAGCCTATCCCTGACGATAACGTAGAACATTTCTTTATTCAGAAAGCACAGGGTACAGTTTCCTGCTCCCAAGTCCCCGGGAGAATGAATGACCTCCAAACTCCACCTAGTGATACAGAATCGTCAAAACTCACCGAATCCCCACATGCGCCATATCTCCAGTAAAATGCAGTCGCCTCGACCCATCACCTACTTGGAACCTGAAAGGTCAAGGTTTCCCACTCCAAAGTCCAAGTCGTCCCTGCAAGCTCCCAGCTCGCACACCATAACACCTTCCTTCTCGCTGTCCATACTCTCCACCAACGGATTCCTTCCCTTTAACCACGCACCCAGCCCTTTTCCAACCCGGCTGACGACACTCAGTCCCGCGGGTTTGGTCCGATATTCCTTGAGCCATCGGTCTACTCGCTCGCCTTGGCCGGTGATGACGGAGTGGCGAAGCCCGAGTTTGCCGGCGACGACCACATCCATCATGGACGAATAGAGAAATGGATGCTGCATGATCTCAGCTTCGAATGCGGACGCCGTGTCTCGAGCCTTCCTGGTGTACTCCTCGTCTTCGAGCAGGGCGCCTAGTCGGTCCAGGTTTCGGGCGGACACACCATTCGTGCCGGGTTCGGCGTTGTCCATACCGTCTTTCAGGCGCATGATGAGATCGGATTGGTTTTCCGGTGTCGAAAAGAACCCCAACTTCGTCTGATCCCAGAACAGCCGGATCTGGGTCTTTTGGAGATCATCTGCCCACTGCAGATAGGCGTCGTTGAATGTTGCCTCGTAAAGGTCGATGAGGCCGGAGATGAGGAAGGCGTAGTCGTCTGCGAATCCTGGAGTTTCCCCAGGCCCTTCCCTGTATACCCGGAGAAGGGTTTGATTGGTTGCGTCGTATAGCTCTTTCTTGATGAAAGCCGCCGCCTTCTCGGCGGCTTCAAGGTATCGGTCTGTACTTCCAGGGCTTTCGTAGGAGAGCGCGGCGTGTGCTCGTGCTAATGCGCCAATCGCAAGACCATTCCAAGAGACCACAATCTTGTCATCCAAGGCCGGCCGGGGTCGCTCCTTATTTCTGTGGTCCAGTAGCTTGGCCCGTCCGTCGGCGATGATCTTCTCGACCTCCTCCACCGGAAGTGCAAACTCCTTTGCCAATGTTGCAAGATTAGTGCTGATAGCCAGCACATTTTGGTTGATCAGCTCGTCATGCGCATCGTGCTCCCGGCTCACATTGCCCCCATCTTTGACATTGTAGTAACGAGCAAGAATCGGAGCATCGCGGTCTCCCAAGATCGTTTGGAATTCGTTCCACGTCCATACGTAGAATGCACCTTCGCGCTTCTCTTTATCAGTGGGGCGGTACAGTGAGTCGGCATCCTCCGCAGAATAAAAGCCGCCAGTAGGGGCCTGAAGCGGTGGGGTAGTGAGATACGTCGCGATGTCGTGTACGGTCTCCAAGAATTCTGGGTTTCTGGAAATGAGGTACGCATCGAGATAGACGGGTAAAAGCTGCGCTTGGTCATAAAGCCTAGAAACTGTGAGCACCTTGCCCAGGTCATTGGACACAAACAGATACTTGCATCTTTTCGAAGTGCGGTAAGCTCCAGTCCCTTGTCACGGAATATCTCGCGAACCCATTACCGACGTGGTCATGAATGCCGCCCCTATTCATTGCCCGTAGTGTCTCCAAAACCATGGTCTTCGCGTTTTCCGTTTCCTCCTCTCCAACGACGTCCTTCACAATGCTGGGGTACTGGCTGAGCTTCAATAGGAAAACCAAATTGGCTGGGGTGGGAAATTTCGGCGCACCCCTAGGGAAGCCGCCGTACGTCTTATCAAACTTCTTGGCGTAGTGCTCATACGCTTCTTCCAGTAATTCCAGATCCAGACCATCTGGCTCGGCGCCGCCCTCTCGACTGACAGTTCCCTCTTCAGCAAACTGGCGCAACTGCGAGGTCACATCCTTGGCGGACTCAAGACATTTCTGCCTTTGATTCTGCCATATATCCCTGAGTTTCTTCAAGATGCCGACAAAGCCAACGTGATCTCCCGCAGCCATTGTAGAACCAGGACCAGGCCAATATGTTCCGCCAAAGATGGGTTCCAAATCCGGAGTGATGAAGACATTCAGGGGCCATCCTCCGGAGCCCGTAGTGGCCTGTACGAAGTTCATGTATATGCGGTCGATATCGGGACGTTCTTCACGGTCGACCTTGATGGGGATGAAGGAGGAATTAAGTATGTCGGCCACTTCCTGGTTCTCAAAGGATTCGCGTTCCATGACATGGCACCCTGGATAAGTCAGCGTCGCGAGGGGTAGTGATGATTGAGCTCTGGGACATACAGTGGCAGGCGGCATATCCAATACTGAGGAAAATGAGCCTGTCAGACTTCTTTGCGAGCTCGAGGGCTTCAGGTCCCCATTGTTGCCAGGCGACGGGGTTGTTCATATGTCCACGGACCTAGTGTTGTGCCTCATTAGCCTGTCAAGTCCGGCTCAACCTCAACATGACTGCCGTACATATGGACTTCTGCTCTCATTGAGGCGGTTCACAAGCTTCAGGCCGTCCCCGGAAGAGGTAGAGGCTTGTGAGGTGAAGCCTCGTGAGGCCATATTGAGTATTCTTATGTGCGTCTGTAGGAAAGGCGCTCGCCAGGGAGGTCGTGGGGCGGGTCGAGAGCTTCTTCGGATGGTGATTGCAGCAATGGAGGTCCGGGTCGAGGTCAAGGCTGGTCCCTTTAAGTGGAAACGCACCGGGGGCATAGATCATAGAAGGTTTGGCATATCCCGGTTGAAGAGATAGGCATATCGTGACAGGTGAAAGGGTGAAGCTACATAGTAATAAGATGAATGACAAGCTACTGATGAGGGGCATAAGAAAACGTCATAGCATTCAAGGCGAAAATGGACGAAGTCTGATTGGCTGGGCGTTCTCTTAATAGCACCAAAATGTCGTCAGCCCTGTAACAATATATAGATCTGTCGCGATACGGACTCTTATACTCCTACTTAAATGCACCCAACATGGTCTTCAAAATCTTCCGGGGAGCTCTGTTCCCAAGGGTGAATAGCGCAGATACACTGTCCAGAGCTTCCAAGAGCTGCTAGTGCGTTCTGCGGGATGATGCCAAAGTGCAGGTTGCACGTGCGCTTGGGATTGGTCCACGGCCTCGGAAATCCCGAACCTCTCCCCCCCCGGCCACCATCATTCATGGCTTCCCAGTCGATTCTCGACAATCACTTCTCGCCCATAGCTTCATTTTTCCTTACTTGAAGTATCTATACGACCTCCAGATACTGCGCAATATCCTAATTCACGCTCGTTACGATGCGGTTCGGAACCACCCTCCGCAAGAACATCTACCCGCCTTGGAGGGAACACTATGTCGACTACGATAGGCTTAAGAGGTTGCTGAAGGAGAGCGATACTGGCTCAATCGACTCCGAGTCCGAGACCTGGACCGCCGACGATGAGAGCGCATTTGTTGACGAGCTTATGAACACCCAATTGCACAAGGTGCACAAGTTCCAGACAGACATGTCGCAACAGCTGCGCGATCGGACTTCAGCATGCGAAAAGAAGCTCGAGCCATTGGCCTTGGGGCCAAAGGAAAAGGAGATAGAGACTGAAGGAGAGGATGCAGGCGCAAAAGGCAAAGAAAGGGAAGGAGTCAGTCCGGAGGAGAGGGAGAAGATTCTGAAGGAGACGCTCGAGGAGCTCGACAACATCACAAAGGAGGTCAAGGAGCTGGAGAAGTTTAGTAGGCTCAACTACACTGCCTTCTTCAAGGCGACCAAGAAGCACGATCGGAAACGCGGGCAGGCGTATCGTTTGCGACCATTTCTCGAGACCAGACTTGCGGCGCATCCAATCAACTCGGAGGACTACTCCCCGTTGGTCATCAGATTATCGGCTATGTACTCTTTCGTCCGGCAGAGCTTGGAGGGAAAGCCCAAGGAAGCCCTCTCTTTTGCTGAGAGCACCTCAGGCGGGGAAGGCTTCACGTCGCACAAATGTATGGACACCAGAACCTCTCCAACCATCACCGCGCACTAACAGCCACAGTCTGGGTACATCCTGACAACATCCTCGAAGTCAAAACAGTCATCCTCCGTCGCCTACCCGTTCTCGTCTACAACCCGCAATCCTCCAAGATTGCCGACGGCGCTCAACGCGACCCGACCATTACATCCATATACTTTGACAATCCTAATTTCTCCCTTTATACCGCCAAGGTCAACAACACGCCGAAGGCAGGATCGCTTCGCCTACGCTGGTACGGCCAGCTTGCGGAGAAGCCAGAGATCTTTTTTGAGAAGAAAGTGATGAAGGAAGGAGACACGAGCGAGGAGCAGCGCTTCCCGATCAAGGACAAATACATTGAACCCTTCATCCAAGGAGAATACAAAATGGAGAAGAGCATAGCGAAGATGGAAAGACAGGAGAAGAGCGAGCAGGAAGTTGACCAACTGCGGAAGGCAGCAGGTGACATTCAGACGTTCATCAAGGAGAACGATCTGCAACCTGTACTACGTGCCAACTACACACGCACGGCATTCCAGATCCCAGGCGACGACCGCGTCCGCATATCACTAGACACGAACCTAGCCTTTATTCGCGAAGACGCTCTCGATCATGATAGGCCATGCCGAGATCCGGAGGACTGGCATAGACGGGACATTGACCGCGCGCAGATGGAGTACCCCTTCAACGCCATCCGCAAAGGCGAAATCAACCGCTTCCCCTTCGCCGTCCTCGAAATCAAGACCAAGGGCATGAAGAGATACGAATGGGTCGACGACCTCATGAACTCGCACCTCGTCAAAGAGACGCGCCGCTTCTCCAAGTTCGTCCACGGCGTCGCCATGCTCTTTGAAGACTACGTCAACACCTTCCCCTTCTGGCTCGGCGACGTCGACACGGACATCCGTCGCGAGCCCCAGCAAGCCTTTGAAGAAGAGCAGGAACGCAAGAAGCGCGAAGCCGAAACCGAGTTCGCCGTAGGAAGCCTCTTCGGCGCCCGTGCCAGCCCCAGCTACCAGCCCAAAGCGCAGTCCCCCGTCGGCTCACCCGAAGCCACGTACGGGAAATCTTTCCCCAAGACCCTCACTCCGGCTCGTCCCTCCCCGCTCAACCGGGAATCTAACGACAGCGCCCAAGGCGGCGCCGGCGGTGAAGCGATCGACTCGGACGAAGAAGGCGTGCACGGCACCCGCATCGAAGAAGCGAGCGGCGGACCCTCCATCTTCTCCCGCACCGGACCCGCAGCACTCGCCTCCCTCTTCCCGTCCTTCGCCTCCTCCAACTCCCGATATGCGCGCAAGCAGAAGCAAAAAGCGAAGGACGCAGGTCGAAGAGACAGCACATTACCTCCCGGCATCCGGCCGCCCGGGACCTGGATCAAGGACCAAGGCCCCGTGCGCGTCGAAGCCAAAGTCTGGCTCGCCAACCAGCGCACCTTCATAAAATGGCAGCACGTCTCGGTGCTCCTCGCCTCGCTGTCCCTGGGCTTGTACAACGCAGCGGGCGAGCATAACGATGTCGCGCGCGCTCTGGCGGTGGTGTATACGTGCTTCGCGCTGTTTGCGCTGTGCTGGGGCTATTGGCTGTATATGTGGAGGAATGAGCTCATTAGGAAGAGGTCCGGGAAGGACTTTGATCGCGTGGCGGGGCCGTTGGTCGTGTGTGGGGGGTTGGTGGTGGCGCTGTGTTTGAATTTCGGGTTCAAGGTATGTGCGGATTTCTTTTTCTTTCTCTCTTTCTCCTGAGGCGTGCTTTGCAGGGAGGATAATGGACAGGGGCTAATTGATTATCCAGTACCGTGCGATTGTGACTAGTGACGGGAGGCATGGGCCGGTGCATAACGGGACGGCTTCGATGTGGGAGCAGATGGAGTTGAAACGGGGTTGAGTAAGGTTACAGCCGGAAGGATGTAGCGGGTTGTCGCAGGTTGGTCTGGCGGGCGGGTTGTACTATAGGATGTACACATCACTTCAGAGTTGTATATATGGTCTTTTTGAGAGGTATGTGATGTCGGAGGCGGTGGAGCAGGTGCGAGCACTTTGTTGCCTAAGTTGTATATTTGCTTTGTACGGGGGATACCATTGCTTGTTTATGCTTGTGATTGATAGTGGAAGGGAGTCGGGTGTCAGTTGAGGTATTGGCATGACACGGCTGTTGTATTGATTGGAATGGAATTTTTGTCTGGAGATAGATACGCTACAGGTACAGATCTGAGAATAGGCTGACTATTCCCAGAAACGAAGATGAGTGGAATTCCACTTCGTCTAGTTAGATAGGGAACCGGCATCAATCTCTTCGATTCTAACGGCGTATGGTTACTCTGCCTGGCGGATGAAAAACAATACCGTAGACAGCAAGATCAGCTTCACTGTGTTCTGGGCCACAAAGTCTTCGTTGCCTCATACTCCGTACTGTCATATCAATAAGTCGTATGAGACTCACATTGAAACGTCTGAAAGGCGTCCGGCGGGTGTGCCTGGGACCTGAGCACCCGTATCCGTGTGCCTACTGAGTCGTATCCGGAGCCGGGTATGATACAGGCTGGCGGATAGATAAAGATGCGTTGGACAAAGCGGAGCAAGTTGAAGGACGTACGTCGTTCAGATAGGTTTTGGCTTCCTGAATTAGGCGATCTTTTCCTAACGGGAAATCAGTCAGGTCTGATGTTAAGAGAACGAACGGTTGTGGTGAGACTCGATGGTGGTAGCCGAGAGATAGAGAGATATGAGTATGGGTCGGTCGAGGGCAGCAGAAAGAGCGGCACTACATAGGCACAAAGAGAGTGCCAGACAGAGGGTTGCCTGAATGTGATTAGTGTAGGCGAGAGTCATCAGTATGGGTCAGTGGCGGAACTAGAAGGAGCGGAACCACACGCTGTGGTAGGTAACGAAGACAGTGCTGATTGGAATGATTAAGATATGACTGAAATGGAGGTGAAGTGGTGATGGTCCATGCAGGCTGGAAGTTGTAGTAGTTAGTAATTGGCTGTGGCTGATGGATTGTGGCTGGTAGAGGCTCCAGGGCTGCGATTCTCGATGGCGGGGAGGCCACCAAGGCGGGGAAGGTCGTGACGCGGAGGATGGAGCTGGATCGGGTGTATGCTTGTACCGGAAGGAGGCTTAGAGGCGTGGTAGCACTTATTATTATACGGTCCCCAGGAACAGACTGGTCTCTGAACTGGTCGCAAGAGGTACCGAACGCCAGAAGATTGTTTAGACAACGCAGGCATTGAATGCAGACGAGCTTCCAGTAGTGTACTCTAGGTCTGGACTGCGTCAACGGAGGCTCTCATTGCTGTTGTCCTAGCAATGGTCAAACGGTTATCAATCCGGCGGTTTTCGTGCGCGTTGTCACAGCAAAGCATCCGCAGCGGCATGTGCAGACAGACGATGCTGGCATGGCAAACGCCGAAGAATTACCGTGAGTGCCCCAGGTAGCACAGCAGCTGCATTCGAAACCAATTACCCCGGGGGCGAGTTTGTTCACGATAACCGACGCAGGGGCCTGGACAACGGCTCGACATAGTGTCGAAGTGGCGATACTGGCCGGAGAGAAAGGCGTGTGATGCCAGAGACAGTTGTACAGGGATTGCGATCCGTGGAGGGTGATATTGCAATATCACAATCGAAGGAGGTTTTAGGCATATTGCCGGAAAGAGGACACGGTTCTGTTAGGGCCCCTGCTCTGTCGGAAAGAAAAGATGGAGGACGTTCCACTGGGAATGCCATTGAGCATACCAAGTCGGGCAACCGAATACGCTGTGCTCCAGCAAGAATTGGCGGCACTGGACGATGGTATGTAGCGTGTCGTCGGACAGCAGCAGACGTCGTTGGGGGGATGGGAATGATCTGCAGACGATCCGCGGAAGGGAAAAATAAGGCGGGATGCCAAGGCGCCATGCTTGTTTTGGCTCGTTTTGACCTTTGCCTAGTTCGGCCTCGATTCGACGTCAACGCATTAAACAGCCATTTTGACACGATTGCTTTCGCCGTCGTCTAGAGCACGGCTGACACTTTGTTCACTCTATTCAGCATGCACAGGCCCGTGCCATCAATTTTAGGACTCCTTCCCTGAGCCAATCTCAATAATGACCTGGACCTCCGACTGTGCCAGCCCTTCATCGTCAAAGCCCTCCATCCATGGCCACCGCCTTGAGGACCACCCCGTAGGCCTCGACGCCGGGTATAGCTTGAATATCAGCGTCCGTAACAAGCATTGGGATCTTGACAATGGCGCCATGGTCCTGGGGGCTTCCCCGTTGCTTGGTGCCACCTCCGCATATGCAGCCCGCCTGGCCTTTGCCCGAGGAAACCCACCTTGTATAACGCCGTCTCCCAACAGACCTGGTGCGGCCCGCTCAGGCGGGCGTGGACGGTGCATCACTAATGATTCTCTCCATGGGTATTCTGACCCACTGTGTACATGGATCCCTCCCGGTCGTATTTGCGTCACTTTCTGCTCGCCACTGGGAACACTGCAGCTGGGATGTATCCCAATCGCCTCGGTTACAGCAGTCATAGGGTTCCCTTCTTAAGGGATCACATCCCCCAAGCGTGCGACTTGACACTTTCTGATATTCTTTCTGTTCTCCAAGCACAGTCCGTGTCACTGTCTCTCCCACAATCCTCTTCCACTGTGCGGACACCCGGCAGCAGCATCGGGAGGGCAGGAGTGATTGTGCGCATCTCGAGTGGTGTGGTGGTCGGTGGCATTGGTGGCATTGGTGGCCGTGGTGTACCTGCAGCTGGTGAACTGTCATCTGTGGTTTCACCTGGGCAGGTTGCTGCGCGGCGCGGGCACGTGAGGCTCGATTGCTCCTTCCTCGCCTGCACGTCACGACAACACTTAACTTCTCCAAGCTGCCTCACCAACACGTCCGCTCTCTCTTCCACCTCACGGGCCTTCGTCCGTTTCCTCTTCTCTCGTTTGCCTTCGTGCTTCCCCGTTGGGAGCCGTCGTTCGTTCGCTCATTTCCATTGAAAAGGCAGTCCGAAGACCATCTACGCTCGTTATCGCAGACTCACAACCATTTGTGCGCCCCTTCACCTTCCTTTCATCCTGCACCGCCATGTGGACCTCATTCATGCTGGCCCTCGCCGGGCTGGCCATGTTGGCCACTCCCACGCCCGTTGCGCCTGTCCAGCCGCTCACTCGACCCCATGCGTTCCCCCACAGTCTTCTGCGCCGGCAGAACAATACCATCGACCACCCCTGTGCTCGAGTAGCCCGGATTTACAATGAATCCACCCCCAACTTCTACGGCCAGACCCAGGTCCCGGCAGGCTTGGCTTATGCGTGCATCACATCCGTACCTTTGAACGTCGCCTCCGCCAAAAAGCTGCTTCGCCGATTGCCCGCCTACCTGAACTGGCAGAGCACTCTGACCGCACTGGCCAACCCGCCAGAGGAATATGTCCAGAAGGTGCAGCCTCCAGTCGACCTCATCGCTGGTCTAGGAACCATCGACGCCAACCTGGATGCCGGTAAGTATTCCAACGAGTACGAGTTCGGCTGGGACCTTTACAAGTTGTTCATCTCCGCCCACGACGGTCATCTGAACTACGTTCCTGACTCCGTGGGCGCTGTCTTCAACTGGGGTCGACCTGTTCCGCTCGTGTCCGTTTCCGAGGACGGCAAGAAGCTTCCATCTGTATTCGCATATCCCGACGTTCTGGGCTCGCAATTCAAGAACATATCTTATACGCCATCCCCCGTTGTCGAAATTGACGGACAAGACGTCTTCACCTGGCTCGAGAATGAGAGCCAGTTCGCGGCACTCCAGGATCGGGATGCTCTCTACAACAGCATGTTCTATGAGCTGGCTCAGGTTGGTCTTTCCACCTCTGGCATCGGAACGGGCATGTTCACTGGAGGTGGTCGCGCCAGATGGAAGTATCCGGGCCATACCACCACTTTAAAATTCGCCAACGGTACCTCGTTCACAATGCAAAATTACGCACGAGTCATGGCGAACTTCAGGTATATCAAGACGGGCGAGGACGTCGCGAAGAAAGTCTTCTATTATGGGCCAGCTTTGGCTGGCGCCGATGAGGAACAGGAAGAAGAAGATCTTCCTCCTCAGGGACCGTCTGCCGCAGTAGGTCCGGGGTATCCCACGCCCGTGGTTCCCGGGCCTGCCAACTTGATCAACGGTTTCTTCATCGACGCCCCGGGATATGAAGATGTGGCAGTGCTCCACGTGCCAAACTTCGTCGGTGACACCAGTATCGAAATCGCTTTCCAGCGGGTTACCCAACAGTTTATTCCACAGGCGCTCGCTGCGGGCAAGACCAAACTGATCATTGATCTCCAGGCGAACGGTGGAGGAACCATATTGCAGGGCTACGACATGTTTAAGCAGCTATTCCCCGCCTTGGATCCATTTGCCTTGAACCGCTTCCGCGCTATCGAGCCTGTGGATCTCATAGGTCAGTCGTACAGTGCCTGGACCTCACAATATCCTAGGTCAGAATTGGTCAGTGGATATGTCAGGCAGTACCAAGCAACCTATTTTGATTACCGGTCCGATATGACAGCTGATGGCAGGCCGTTCAGCTCCTGGGATGAGAAATTCGGCCCGGTGGATGCCTACGGAGACAAATACACCTCATACCATCGATGGAACCTGTCTGATGTGCACATTACATGGAATTCCGGCGGCATTTACATCACTGGATACGGACCCTTGGCCAATGTTTCAAGGGTGGCACCTTTCAAGCCCGAAAATATCGTTCTGCTTACCGACGGTTACTGTGCATCAACCTGCTCCATTTTCAGTGAGCTCATGACCAAGATTGCTGGCGTAAAGACCATCGCATTTGGTGGTCGAAGCAACAGCGATCGAATCCAAGCCGTCGGTGGAGTGAAGGGGACCAACAATTTCCAATTCAGCTACATCCAAAACCTGGCCCAGACAGCCATGTACCTTGCTCAGGGCGACTTGAAGAAGCAGCTCAACAACTCTGTGCTGAGGGACTACTACGATGATATTGTTTTCTACCGCGCTGCATCCACCCCTGGTGTCAACGTTCGGGACGGCATCCGAGCCAATGATTCATCTGGAGTCGCTTTGCAGTTTGTGTATGAGGAGGCCGACTGCCGCCTCTATTACACACCCGAGATGACTGTCGATGTCACGGCCATCTGGAAGGCAGCGGCTGATGCGCAATGGCGTGACAGAGGGAAGTGCGTCGGCGGTAGCGGCTACGGCAAGCGCGCTGCCCGAGAGAAGACGATGCGGTTGAGCCGCAGGAGGACAACGGTTTCGCAGGCTGCAGCACTTGCACAGCTCGAAGCGTTCGAACGGACTTTCAAGCTTGAGACGGATTGCCGCCTGAGTGCTGACGGATTCATGCAGCCATGAAGGGCACGATCCGCATCGAGACTATGGTGTGAATTTACAACGCTTTTGCACAGCTTTGCAAATTTCAGAGGTATGTGGCGATCTCGAACGGATGGCGAGTTCGGATAGAATTTATGCGTGGCCGAAGTGGAGATTACCGTATGAGGTTATAAACATGGGAACATCTTGTGGCATATTGCCAGATGATGCAACGGCAGTGGTAATGATAGTTATGCCAATGAAAAGGAAAGCTTTTTCAACGCCACTACGGTATTATATTGCAAGCCCATACTCTCTGTTGTCCACGTGTTGTGTTTGACACCTGACATATCCTCAGTGGTCAACGTAACACGGTTTCAGCTAGGGTCATGATTATTCGACGAGTACGCGCTCCAGGTACGGCTCGAGGAACAATACGGCGCACTGTGGTACTACTTCACTTGGTGGTGCGCGCTGGGTTAACGTTGCCTACTCATTCCAATGACACCTTCTGCGCTATTTCAAGGTATTAACATTCCAATGGCTTATATGCAAGTCCCGGCATCCGCAGAGTTTCGGACTTGTCGTATGTAGGAAGACTAACGAGGTGAGAGAGAGTAGAAGGGAGAGAGACGGTTGAGCTTATAATCCTCAGTGGGGACTTGCTGGACATCCGCACCGACGCCGTTACAACCAGTCTCTACAGTTAGGGTAGGAAGGAAGGTATTTTATACTCAAATATCCGTGGTGTTGCCTACGCAACACTCGAAAAGGGCTCTACAAGAAAAATAATGTCCTTATTCTGCACGCCCTTGAATGTGAATTTTCCTGTTATACTGGGCGATATCCTTAATGGATGGTACCGTCAAGGCTTCTAGGGTGGGCCACCTGTAAGTACAGGTAAGTTTCCACGAGCTAGAGAAAGCAAAGGACGGTATTGGCTGTGTATCCACTCCCCAGTGATTCGCCACCTGGTGCGCAACGTAATTCAGCGTCGCGCTCAGGGACTGAGCGGAGTAAGCTGGAGTCGGCATTGCACGAGGGTGACAAGACGCTGGCTGGGCACATGGGAGCCAAAACGCACTATCGGTATCTGCCTACCCAATGGCAGATGAAGATTTCATGTACGACGCGCCTCTATCACCGCCATGTAGCGGAGCTGAAGAGCCGAAAGCGGCAGCCGTTGGCGAACTCGCGTATTGAGGGCCGGGCCAAGGTCAAAGTCTGGAACAATGTTGTGTGCCATAAGCAGCCTCGAATCAGGCTTCAGTCAGCTCTGACGCGGGCCGCTGATGAGACAAAGCAAAGAACCCCGACGAAAAGATCTGGGCTGCGGCAGCAATCGCGTGTATAGCAAGTGTCGCACCTAAGGGTATCCATAAGAGGACCACCGTTAGAGTGACATATATCGAACTCCAAAAACAGATATGGACGAGCTCGAGTCGCTAATCGGTGCAGATCGCTTCGTACTCTACGAGACCTGGACCCACGAGTCCAGCACCATCTACCGCTTCCAAACCCTGGGAACATGGAACTTCGACTGGTCCAGGACGACGGAAATCAACTTCATCTTCCTCAAAGTCCAAATACCGACTTTCCGAAGCGCAGGCTACGACGCACTGGAAGCAACAGGCCTCGAACTCGACCCCGTCGCCAGACCAGGCCTGTTCAACAACGCGTTGCCGGGCGTGCTGCACCAGAAATCCGCTTTTCGGGAGACAACCTCGGGCGCGGACATTCTGGCCTTTTGCTGCCGCAATCTGGACCAAGTGCGCATCGCAGTGGGGGAGACCGTGCGCATTCGTGTGTTCCTGATCGTCTGGGAGCCGGATGGGAGCAAGGAGCCCAGCTTGGACGGCCTTAAGGAGTTTGCGACCGAGACTTTCAGAACCGACGCTCTCAAAAATGCAATGCCGGCGCAGTTCAAGGCCATTGCGAAGACGGCGTTGAGGGCCGACTTGGGGTGTCCGGATAGTGGACGGCCGACTAGGAATATAGTTGAAGGCAGCGAAACGTCTGACTCCGACTCCGACAACCACCAGAAAGGTAATCCAGTGAAGCATGATGTCAAGCTACATCTAGCTCGATTTCTTGCGTACGACAAAAACTTCCGCCCTCTGTGCAGGACTCTACTAGAAAGAATGGGTAGGATTCGTTTCATCAACACCCTTCAAGTGCTCCTCATGTCGTTTTACAAAAACTTGCTTCAAGAAAAGGCAACTAGAAGACCGCCGATAAAGATGGGGGTAATCCTAGGGTTGTGGTCCGAAACAAGTAGACGGCGCATATGCAAAACAATTGCAGAGCACATTAGGGGGGGATGCATATGAAGATGCGAGAGAGATTAGAAGCCATGCCAACCCTGGGAAGCAGGCGCGAACGGGAGCTGAATCTCCATACAATCCGATCAAAAGGGCAACTCCATCTCCGTACTATTCGATGGAAAGGGTATCTCCATCTCCATACTATTCGATGAACAGGGAATCTCCCCACAATCCGATCAAAAGGGTGCCAGGCTTTGTTACCGGAACAACAATCCCACAACAGTCAGAGCCACGGAAGGCTGAAGGCAATGTCCGCGAGGAGCAAGGCTATGTTCATGGTTACTTCTCAAATGCAGATGTGGGCTCAGAGGTCGAACACAACGAAACGGAAATTCCCGACCTTGCTGAAACGGACTTGGCTCTTCGAGAGTCCAGGTCATTTCAGATGTTACTCAATGATGCTAGAATGTCACTCCTTCCACCACCACTAAGGCAGGTTGTACGCTCAATTCCTAGCGATCATATCTGGCTTTCAAGACAGCAAAATCGGTCTGTCCTGAATCGATTGAAAAGCTTCATTGAGGACTATACACAACTAGAATGGAACTGGTGGCCACTACAGCCTCGAATGCGACTTCTACAGGATCATGAATCTCGACTCTTCTGGACTTGCGTAAGATTCCTACATCGGAAGCACGTCATGGAGCTAAGTTTGCACAGTCTTGTGGAGCACGTCTCTGGAAGGAGATATCACTTGAAGAAGCTGACCTCATCGACCAAATGCTGCCGAACCTCGATAAAATCTCGCCATGGCCACATCGGTGCAGGGTGAAACGCGATACAATGTCCCGGGCGGCACGTTTAGCTAGCATTATTCGAACTGTATTGCCTATGTCAAGTGCAGCCCAACGATATACTCCCCCGTGCCCTCCCACGTCGTCCACAACGACGGGTCAGGCCTCACCGTCCGCCCCTATCCCCCAAATCAACGCCGATCCAGACCAATTCCAGCGCCAACAGGCGGCTATCACAATTCAGCTATCTCCAGGCGTTGAAGATGCTGACACAAGCCAAAAGTGGGTGTTATTTGGAGTGCAAGGATCCCGTCGGACTCTAGAAATCAGCCATATTCCGATTGATAATCATACCAACGACAGCAACCTCTATTGTTCTCTAAGAGAACGCTACCAAGCCAGCCGTGGACGGCTTCGATTGTGGTTCTCTTTCTGGAGGCTAGAATACTGTGAAGTTGTGAAGGCATATATCGCTCATCCCCTGGCCTTGTCGATCACAGCTGACTATAACGCCTTAGTTTAAACGGATCGCACCAGGCTGGATCATCAGGTCCCATAAAGATTTACCAAAAGACCCTGAATACGAATACGACCCCCGACCCCCAGAGGCAACGAATCCTCCAATATCCCGCCACGAATTCTCCATGCATCTCAACGCCTGCGCACACCCATGTTATTGGTCACTCTTTCATGAATGCATGCCATCGCTCGAAACGTCCAGTGCCATAACCTGTATTCCGAAGAAGCGCAGCCCATTCGACACAAAGTCTAATAATTCGACGGACATTTTTGCCTGGGGTTTGGAGGCCAAGCATGTGATCTCAGCCGCTTATGTGGCTGTGTATCACCTCTGGATATTTCTTCTCCCCTTTGGATTCTGGGCGTGGTGGATAAAGGGACACCCGAACGACCTGCAAGGTGCATCCGTTCCTGTCACTGTAGTCCTTGGGCTGCTCTCGCTATTCTGGAGCGGAAATGGTATATTAACGCAAGGGAAGCAGTCACAAGATACAAGCTGATGGATTTCACATAATGGAAACAACCAAGATCGGGGATAATGTCGAACTTAATACGAGCAATGTTAGAATACAGAATATTTGCAAACGTGTCATGTTTCTATGTTATGAAGTGGTACTACTTCTGATTCTAAGTTATCTTAGCTCAAGGCTTACCCTTATTTGATATCAAAAACTGTATAAACGGCTAAGAAGGGTTGTAATCACTGTCCTAGACAGGCGATTCTTAAGACTAGCCCGTTAACATCACAAACCTCAAAAACCGATAGAGAACTTGTTGTGAGTGTATGAAACTTCTTATCATTGTCCTCAGATAAAAGCTATTCATGACGCCACATGTTTGAAGAAGCCACTCATAGAGCCGGCGTGAAAACACATACAGAATAGAAGCTGCAACCTGCTAAATGTGTCGTGTATCGTGTACCCTTGGACATCCTGTCCATAAACCATAAGGGGATTCGTTGGTAGGATGCAGTATCATGCAAGCAGTCGGTTCCGGACCAGCGGCGATTCGCCCATGCAAAAATTGCTGATGATTGAATCCATGTCAGCTAGAGAGCGCTGAAGAATGAAAATATTCTCGAACAGCTTACTCCGCCCAGCTGCCCAGGTTCCCGTTGCTAATGGGAGCTGCAACGTTCTCCGCATAACGGCCTGCATAGTTTCCAGGCGGAGCATAGTTGCAGACCGTGAACTTGTTCATTCTCGTAGGGGTGCCGTCGCTCAGCTTCATCCTATCTCCGCAGTCAATCGAGACGCACCCGACACCCGTGGTGCTCTTCCAGAGCATGGCAGTGAGATGGCCGACACTGTGGAAAACGGTGTCGGGTATGTCAGTAGAGCCAAAGTAGGGTCTCATGGCATCCAGCTCGCCCTTGTACCAGCTCTCCGTAATGGCGGCAGTGACATTGAAGGCATTGCCAGAAACAGTGAAGATATTCTGCCCCTGCTTCAGCTCGCCGAGGAAGGCAGGATGCTCAAAGACGCAGGTTTCAGCAGTCCTTCGAGCGCCGGCCTCGCAGGCATCATTCCAAGTGAGAGGAGGGGCGCCGTGCCTGGCCCGAGCTGCATTGTGATGGTACAGAACAGCAGCCTTATATTCTGGACCTGACGACAAGTATGCTTGAGATTCGCCGGTGGGACGAAGGCCTCCGTCGCCCTTGGGAGCAGGTGATGACACCTGGCTTGGGGCAGCAGAGCTTGGCTTAGGCTCTGGCTGGGGTGCCGCAGTAAGGCTCGACGTCGGTGCAGGAGTGACAGTCGGGGGATGTGGCGTTGCAGACGGAGCCGTGCTGGGCCTGGCACTAGAACTTGGCTTGGGCCACCACCAAACGTAACGAGTATTGGTTGCCGCTGGCGTTGTAATGGGCAGGGGAGCTCCGGCAGTCACGTAGACGGTGATGGTTTTGACCTGGACTGCGACTTTAGTGACGACGCGTCGCTTCTCGACCGGGCTAGCGAAGGCGCGGATAGCGAGAGCCGCAGAAACAAGGGGTAAAGAGCGCATCTTGTAAGTGTTGTCGAGATTTTGAAAATGTTGGTTGGTGTAAACACGGATAATTTGCGTGTCGGTCTTGTGGCCAAATGGGAACCGCAACACTCTGCAGCGGATTAGAACAGCCGCAAGAAGAATTGCTAACCCAATCAAGGAAATCAAAGCATCTTTATAGCCTTGGATTTTGCCTCCGATGTGCAGTGGTACCTTTGACAGGGAAGTTGTCTGATACTCACCTGGCCAGTACCGCCACTAGTGTTTGTGCAACGCAGTTGTTTAATGAGACTCGAAACAGACCGGGCGGGCTGGGACAAAGGAGCGTGGAGAATAGAACAAAGGAGTAAAGAAAGTGGGCGCCGTAGAGACAAGGCCTGCACGGCGAAGAGAAAGGGATTCTGGATGGTTGTACAAAGAAAGGAATGTGGAAATCCTGGTGAGAGGGAGAGACACAACGAACACGAGCCGGGAAGCCAAGAATAAGCGAGACTTAGCATGGGCAGGAGCGGTTCGCGAACTCCTCCTACTGTTACTGTAGTGGGTTTGTGTGACGCAGACGGAAGGTGCGCGGTGGGAGTGGGAGATGAGATTCCACCATACAAACGGGCCATCGGGGTTGGGCCTTGCGAGTCCGACTCTCATAATTTCAGAAAATATAATCTGTTCTCTCCTGCAGAGAACACCATAGCAATAAGAGAGAGCGCTTTTTGGAGGGCAAGAGGGCTGTCCCTGCGACTAAGGAACATGCTTGTCGGACTGCCTTGCTTTATCCCGGTGAGACGGCATCTTCTTTCCTTATCCCACTTATTGGGTCAAATAAGAAGGTGAGCTAAGTATTATGGATATGTTTTATAAACCTTTCTAAGCCCAGAGATTCAAGGCCAAGGGCGTGCAAGATCCGCATAATCCTTACGACTTCAACAGACCGCTCCTGCGTCAACTTTTCCCAACTCTCCCACCAGTACAGCCCCTGTGTCCACTTACCGTTTTGCTCATACCGTCACACGAGACAGCCCTTCCAATCTTTACCATACTTAGAACTAAAGTCCTGGTCTCTGCATTAATGAATTGGCGGTAAACTGGTCTAGTGGTCGCCGAATCTGTTCCGCGAACCCTGAGCCATATAGCCCGCCTGATGGTGATTCGGTTGCGGGTTTCCTTTTTTGGGACGGTTATGGTTACCTCGATTCCTGGTGTGTGCAAACTCAAAGGCTTGCGATGTTATATTCCTACTCCCGGCATTATGGCATTAAAAGGAATGCGCACCCACCAGGATACTCATGGACTTGAGTTTCACAAACTAATACACATATCTATGCCTCGCGGAAATGGTGCCGCAGCAGTCTGCACTCAACTTTCCTTTCGGTTAGCTTTAACCTCTCTTTCCAAACCTCGCCACCCATCGGTGCCTCAAAACGGCCTCCCTTCTGGCCACCGTCTGACGATCAATGCATATTGCTGTCCCCATGACCTGTCTAGTTCGAGGATCTCGGACGACCAGGTATGTCTACTGATGCCGCCATCTCTCACAAGCTGACGGATGATAAATTTACATAGTGGCCGTTTGCCACCTTTCTTACCCTAGCAGCCCAATATTGCATTCCATCTCCCAACCCCAGCCCCCCGTAACATGAGCCCATCATCCAGCTCCGCGGATTACTCGCATGCGCACGCGAGCCCAGCCGAAGCCGACGCAAGGGATTTCGTTTACGCTCGGGTGGCCAGAAGAAAACTTGGAAGTCCGCTCGGCAAGATCCCTGTTATCCCACTACAAGCACCTACGATGCGGTAGTTAGGAAATAATGGAGGATTGCATGAGAAGTAGGTGAGACACACGGGCAACAAGAACTCGCCTCAAAACGCAGATCAGTCAACGTCCTCCAAGTTCCAGTAGGGATCCGCCATGATTTCCGACATCGATACCCTTTTCACAGGATCCAGGTTCGTCATGCGAAATACTCTTTGCCTCACTGTCGAGGTTGGGAAACGTGTCAGACGACGGCGTATCGAACGTTTCATTCGTCTCGTCCTCTGCTACTGCTTCCCACAGGGCTTTCAAGAGCTCCTCGGATTTGGCGCCTTTGACGTGCTTGACGAGTGCATGCGGTAGAGGCCCAAAAGGCGAGAGCAGCTTGTATAGAGTCACCAACACTGGTACGGCCTCTAGCGTTTCAAAGTCGGGGTGGAGCCATTCTACGCCCGTGGTGACGTAGAAGCACTAGCATTTCAATCAGTACATTTGCCGTAGCATCGATCAGACTCAACTTACAAGGAGTCCAAAGGAAAACACCTCAGAATGCTTGCCCACACCCTTTCCTAGCTGGCCTTCGGGGCTGCGCCACATGACGTTTCCTATCCTGTGATTGAAGAGTTTTCCGTCTTCTAGCTTCAGAGCGACATCGAAGTCACCTAGAGCCACCTTGTGGAGATGGAATTGCCCGCGTCGATCTATGTGCCAGTTGGCAAAAACATTATCTAGCTTCACATATAAAATGATAGGGTAACAATAAGCCAAGTTTAACAGCAACAAGCGTGGAGAATACCATACCAAGATGTACCCAGTTCCTTGCATGCATGTCCCTTAACCCAGGACAGACCTCCCGGAGGATTGTCTTTCGTGCATCAAGGGGCAGAGGTGAATAATTCTTCACCAACGAAAAGACATCGGTCGTGAAAACCTCGTACACAACTACGTTCTTCTTGTAGTTCTAGTCAACGTGGGGTCGCAGGTAAGGGTTATCGCCGAACTCTTTGTTGAACTCGAGTAAGTGATCAAGGACGGACCGCGACACCGGGTTCAGGACAAAGAATTGGTTTGCCGAGCTATGTGGTAGATTTTCACTCTCGGTCCATTGTTTTTGGAAGAGAGCTGAGGAATGACGATTGGCAAACTCACGTTGCGAGATGAATATCCAGCTCGGGCTTTTTGGGATGGGAGCAGTACTTGGAGTCGCTTGTACGCACGACCAGAACCCACAATAAGTGCTACCTGCCTCCTCACAGCTACGCGTCGGCCACCCCCTATTTCCCTAGTCCCTCGCATCACGACGCGAGCTTAGACGGTAATCTCTAACAAATCTATGCTAGTGATACCGTCTCTACACTATTAGCAAGGCCACCGTCATCCGTCAAAGTACCTCTGCATCTGCTCTTCTATCAGTGGGGTTTTCCAAAGGCAAGTAGGTGTGAATAAGCCCAGGTGCTCTCATCATTGCATAATTCTCCTGTTCGGGACCTCTCTGCACTCTGGAATGGGTTCTCCGTCAAGTAAAAACCTAATTTGTTACGTTCCGCGAAGCGGACAGAAGTGTATGTACCTATCCAAGGGGACCGGAAGAAGCACCTAGTCTCACAACGGACACACAATGCATCCAAAGTCCCCAGTCAGCAACATATTTGTGAATTGGAGGTACATGTCCTACGGATATAGTAAAAGCTCAGTCTTGGTCACTTTTTAGTAGAACGGAAATTTCACTGACACCAATGCTCTACTCTGTCTATGTGAAGGTGTTACTACTATGTAGGCGGCTCGATGTATCACCATCATCGCTGTAACTTTACACGGCTTGTGAACATTGCAGGAGTGTAATATTAGGTGTTAAGATTATTCTGCTAACCTATATGCCAGTAATGTCCTCCTATGCGAAGACGAATTGCCATCACTATCGCATCTCTTCGTGCTACCGAGCCTCCAACGTACGAGTTATAACTTCAGAGAACATATAAAGGATCCGTTACGTTTAATTCAGCGACTGGCAACTTTATCCTGATGGCGGCAATCTTTTCCTCCTGTCCCTGGTGACGGTAGATGCTCACGAGCATCCTACCTGTCTTGATGAGATATGGATCCGTGAGGGGGGCTGCATTCTGCCATGGTAGCCTGTTCAATAGAGGCCTTTTTCTCGTTACTTTATCCAAGACATCGACGCAGTACTTCTCCGCCTCCTGCAGGTTCCCGAGCTTGAACTGTATGTAGGCGTAGCCATACATTTGATAAATCCAGTCGGGAGTTCCTACCATATGAGAAGGCATGACTGTAAGCAATGGACGCACGGTCTCTTCCGCTTCCTTCCATTTACCGGACTCCACATACGCTTTTCCCAGGTTCGATCTTGTCATGGCCATGCCAACATGGTGTGGCCCTAGTGTCCGTTTTACGACCGGGACGACGCTCTCAAGCAAGGCCACAGCTTTGTCTGGACGGCCCCGCTCAATATATACCTTTGAAAGGTCGTTGATGGACCATAATGTGTACGCATGTTCCTCTCCCAGGATCTTCTTTCTTGCATTCAGCACATTTTCCACTAGCCGTTGTGCGGCACTAAGATTTCGCTTCGTTTCACATAGTAGTATCCCAAGCTCGTTCCTCGTCATCAGCGTGTCCGGGTGGTTGAGTCCGAAGAATCGTTTCTGGTACTTGATTACCCAGACTAGAAGTTCCCTACATTTCGAGAACTCACGAAGATGGAGGTATGTACGAGCCAGGTTGAACATAGCTGTCAGGGTCATTGGGTCTTCTGGCCCAAGCCGCATTTTCAACCCGTCTACCGCTCCCTCCCCGGCCATTTTCGAGAGATCTCTCAAACCTGCAAGCCACAAAGTAAGGCTGATGTCGCTCAAGGCAAGACAGTATGGAATGTGTCTTGGCTTCCATATTGGCCAGGCCGCCCAGTCAGAAAGATGCGGACGACGCCAGCGCAGTACGTTCATTATCCCTCTTTGGAGTTCTATAGTGGACCTGATCTCGAACAGATTCCAACGTGATTGCGCCAAGCTACGTTGGGCACGAATGGTGTCTTCATGTCGGCTTCCCAACTTCTTCTTCCGAATGCGAATGACTATTTCTTGAAGATGGCTCGCGTGTTTCCACTGACCTTGTTCGGCGTACACCCAAGCAAATCTCTCTAACTCGGCAGCAGTTTTCAGAGTTTCGGACTTTCGAGGGTTTTGATGTTTGTGTAGCTTGAGGCACGAGTTTATGTGCGGCAGAAGAAGGGCTCGAAATTGTCGCCCTGATGCCTCCAAGTTTGGTGATATGCATTGGGCCAGTATCGCCATGGTGCACTGCAGCCAATGCGTCTGTTGTTCATATGCAAGCCTGTCCCGTGCCCAATCGTGGACGACTGGATGGATGGTGCATGAACCTTGGGTTGGCTCGTATTCGATTATTGAATAGTCGCATAGGACTCTTATTGCTCTTCGAAATCTGGCTTGCTCTGCCTCACTCCATACGGGCGGGAGAATGTCAGGGAGCCGTTTGGGCGCATACTTCGAATACCTCAACTCATACCAGGATCTCTGGAAAATGCGCTCTGGGATTGTTTCGTGGTGCATGAAAGCGAACAGGTGCATCAAGTCGACTGCGTCTCTGTGCTCCAACGAACCTCGACTAACAACCTTCTCAAACGGAATTTCCCAAGTACTAGTAATGTTCAATTCGTCCACGCTCTTCTCGCTTGAGCGACTCAGCATGTATTTCCGATGCGGTAGGTAGTACGTCAAGTATCTCTCCAGTGTATAGATATTGCGGCGAATAGTTGCGCCGGCATGCTGTATTGCGAGGGGCAGGTATCCTAGTTCGACCGCAATACCCTCAGCAAGGTGCCATTTCTTAGGGCTAGTTGGGCTGGCCATGTTTGAACTCCGGTGTTGCTTCGGGTATGCGGCCTTCAAAAGAAGAGTTACAGCTTCATGGGGTTCCATACCGCGGAATCTGATATGGCCGACTGTAGCATGTTCGACGGCATTAGGATTACGAGTTGTCACTATAACATGGCCGTTACCTTGGCTCGGGTAGTAAGCGGATATATCCGACTCTGGATCGTCTGCATTGTCCAAGATCAGGAGCCACGGTTGCCTGCATTGCGATAGCCAATGGAGTGTCGAAGCCATCGTAGTGCCTCGTCCTGCTTGTGTACCTATGACGGCGTATTCAGATTCGACCGTCTTTTCGCTGCTAGCGTCGATCCAGAAAACTCCCCAGTACCTGATGAAGCAAAATCAGTGTCCAAACTTCGGAGAGTGGGAGTTGAGCCGCTTTGAATATACCTCTGCTTGTTGTCCTCAACATATTTTAGACAGAACTGAGTTTTTCCGGAGCCTCCCAAGCCGTAGATTACCAAGACTTTAGTGCTGGTTTGATCACCATGCTTTCGGATGGGACCGAGCATGTTCTTCACCTCTATCAAGTGCTTTTCCCGCCCAGTGAAATAAGGATCAGGCTTTCGACGACAAACGCACCATTGGTTGTAATCTGACGGATAGGAGTCCGCTTGAAGCAGGTGATGACGTTGAACGTGTAACAACTCCTCTACCTCCTGCTGGCGTTTCCGATCGATCAGCTCCGCATCTTTTATCCACCGTGACTTGACCAGCGCGGGTGCGCGTCTGGCATAACGTGTGAGCGCTTCGAGAACCGGTCGGAATCTGCGGTCTGAAATACTTGGAAACTTGATCATCGTAGAGTGGGTTGCCATGATACCGCATTTCTCAACATTGTCCCACGCAGGAGCCGCGGAGTCCTGGTCAACGACATAGAATCTGCGGTTTCCATGCTTGGTTTCCAATTCTTCCCAATAATTGAATATTGAGAACTGCTTCATCAACGGCGCGAACTGGTCATTTATCTCATTCAACATCTCGGATCCCTTGCGCAGGTTGAGCATAAAATGAGTCGGCCCAGAACTCGGATGGCTTTGTGCTAGGACACTGTCTGCACTGATGCCATTATGAGGTGTTCCAAAGAATAGGATGCCGTATGTGCACGTGTATATTGATCTTTGGTGTTCAATAGCTTTGGCTTCCCTTGAGCTAGAGTATGCTAAGGCCCGTTTGGCTAAAAGACCTCCGAAGCCATGACAGACGAAGATGATGGGGCGATCAAAGGCATCCTCTAGCTCGCGATCGGCGCACAATTCGGCCACAAGGCTTGTTGCCTGGGTAAGGAGTGGGTTCGAAGAGCATGCACCTGGTGATGTGAAGGCCTCTGAGTTATAGTTGTAGAGCAACACTCGAAAGTGGTGCAGCTTGTCCGGTAGTAGGTCCCTCAACCAAAGAACTTGCGACTTCGGGTCTGTCCAAGTCTGGACCCCATCTTCATTCAGGTCATGAATGGCGACAATGCTACAACAGTGTCAACTTTCTCTGCGTTGGCTTGGATACGTAGGCAGCTGGTATAAACCTACTCAACTGCTCCGTCGGTTGTCTGCTGCGGGGCACTCCTTCGTTTTGTGATCTCTGTTATTGCCATAGCACATTTTTGTCGCTGGCTAGTCAATTCTGCTAAAGGAATGAATTATGGAGACCGCGTCGGATCTCACATGGGGCCACTCTGGAAAGTCGTTAGATATTGAAACACACCCTGCAAGCTCGTGGCAAAATGCCTGAGCTTACGGATTGCCAGGCGATTGGGCGGGAGTGGCTGCTTTGATGGTTCGAGACGGGAATGGCTGGGAAACTTCGCCTGCGGGTCTCGAGGGAATTCCGAAACGAGGGACGTTGTGGGCGGAAGCTGCAGGTGGCCATATTTGTTGAGTGCAGTTGCCGATATAATCGAAGATATTAGTGGCTGGGGAAGCGCCAGCCTGTTACGGACCTCCTCTTCTGGTACTCGCTCACATCCCAATCCACCAATCCTATATGCATTTGGCCTGTTCGCCCCCACACCCCCTCCCCTTTCCCTCCAAAACAACACGGAACACCGCCCCTGCAGCTGTACCGCATTGTACCGCGCCGCTGGAAGCCTACAATCACAGGGTTTGAGGAACAATCTGTTTCTATTAAGCAAATCACGACATGTGTTACGCCCCTGCGGCCCCTGGAGTTGGACGTGGAAAGAGACGGTAACCTATCACTACCGCCGTGCACGAGAAGCACAAGAAGAACGTCCGATATCTACATGCATTTGTCCCGCTTTCGCAGCAGCTGCTTACGCCACTTCCACTGGGTTTTCAGAGCCCCTTTCGTCTGTCGCGAAGCGGCGCGCGCAATTTTACATGATTGAGAAATCGACGTGACACATTCACTATTCCTGCGCATCGAACTAACTGGCAGCTACTTGGCTCTTTCCTTCCCCTGACGGTCATTAGAAATCATGACGCAGGCACTTCTTCCTTTGGTTGGCCTCATTCTGATAATATGGATTTCCACACGCTATATAACCCGTCGTCGTGAACGACTGGTAAGCCCATTGAAGTACCCAATTCCAGGCATGCCGCTGACCAAAACACAGGCAGATGAAGCTTTTGGTCGGCACCATGGCTGTCTTCCCGCTCCGAGACTGCAGAATCAGAGGCCATTCGGGGTTGACCGCCTCGAACAGATCTTTCGAGCCGATGCTGAATCACGGTTAATGGAACTATTTCTGTTTCATTTCCGCCAGACAGGCAGTACGCTAGAGCAAAAGTTTCTCGGGACCAAGGCATATGGCACCATAGAGCCGGCCAATATGGAGGCTATCCTTTCCACAAGTTTCAAAGGTTGAGAAGAGCCTACAGATACATACTACATAAGAGCTGACTTGATTCGAGACTTTGGCATGGGGCCGCGACGAGATATCACATATCCAATGTTTGGCGACGGCATATTTACGCAGGAGGGCGCTGCCTGGAAACAGTCCAGGGATATGCTGCGACCCCAGCTCCAACACAAACAATACGAAAACTTGGAGCTCTTCCGACCTGCTGTAGACGACCTGATCCAAATCATCCAAGAAAGTAAAGGCACTGTAGATCTTCAGCCCTTGTTCTTCCGCCTGACGTTGGACACAACCACGGCGTTTCTGTTTGGAGAATCAGTGCGCAGCCTGATTACGCCCGAAGCTGTTGGAGAGCGAACATTCGCAACGTCCTTCAACACTGCTCAGCAATGGGTCACGAAACGCTTTCGACTCCTCGACCTCTACTGGTTTATCAATCCACCAGAGTTTCGACAAGCCTGCCAGGACGTGCACAAGTTTGCAGACCAAATCATTGACCGTAATCTCTCGTCGAACAGAACTGAAAGTAGTGACTCGGGAAGATATGTTTTCCTAGATACCGTCGCGAAAAGGACAAAAGATCGAACTGCGCTCAGAGGCCAGATTATCAACCTTCTAACGGCAGGAAGAGACACAACCGCATGCCTTCTCTCGTGGACATTGTAAGTCAGCGTCTGCAATAAATACAGATCCGCTCTCTAATCTCGTCAGCTTTTTGCTCGTTCGCCATCCGAAAGTCTTGGAGAAACTGCGCGCGGAAATCGCATCCACATGCGTGCCAGGTTCGAGTCTAAGTCGAGATGTTCTCAGAAACATGCGATATCTTCAGAATGTTCTCAGGGAGAGTCAGTTCCTCCGAACCCCTCTTATTATTCCCATCTCCAAGCTAACCTGGCTAGCATTACGACTTTACCCGTCTGTTCCTGTCAATACGCGTACGACAGTGAGGACTACGATGCTCCCGACAGGTGGCGGGCCAGACCGCAAGTCTCCAGTTCTTATCCCCAAAGGCAGTGCTGTGGCCTTCAGTGTATATTCCATGCACAGACGCCCTGATCTTTATGGCATGGATGCTGAACTATTCCGACCGGAGAGATGGGACGAAGACATGCCTTTACAGCACAACCCCACGAACGCAAAATGGGGTTACCTTCCTTTTCACGGTGGCCCACGCATTTGCCTTGGAAGTGAGTACCATTTCTCTCCCCGATGACGTAGGTCGCACTCATGCTGATTGAATATACCTTCTGTTAGTGGACTTTGCTCTCACGGAAGCTGCGTACACTGTCGTACGGCTCCTCCAGAGATTCCAAACCATCAAGCTTCCAGAAGGGGAGGTTGTAGAGTTGGTGGGCGTTGAGAAACAAACGGCAACGCTAGTAATATCAATCACAGAGGGCTGCAAGGTCGATATCGAATAGTCATTAAGCTCTAATAGACGACATATTTTGAGCTGGGAGGATGCAGCAGAGAGAACTAGCTGAGAGGGATCTTAGCTACAGAGCCTACCATCTTACGAGCTATCGTCCGGTCTGACCTGCTTCGCCTTCTAACACCCGCTATTCAATCCCCCAGACAATTTTTCACCTCGGGTGGAGGGTGGCTCTATCCTATTCATCATTCCTGCACCAACTCCGCGGCTTCATTCCGACGTTTCGAACTCAGCATTTCCGTCGCTTGAACCCATCGCATGGAGATCATCTCTGCAGCCTCCTTTGAATACCGCATTAGTGCCGCTACAACGAGTCGGTAACCCGGCGAGCTCCGGCTCTCAAATTTCACCATGTCACGGTGCCCATACGGAAGTCCTGCCCGTTCCGTGTTATCCAAGATTGGAGCGGCCGAATTCTCTTCTACAATCTACAGCTCGACAGGTTAGCCCAAAAATCTTGCTCGAGATCAAGAGAAACGGTTCCATACATAAGCCAGCGTAGTTCCAAGGTCCGTTTTCTCCTGCTCCCAGAAGAAGTAGATGCGGAAATTCTTCATCAAAGGTGCGAACATGTCTGTGATATTCTGCAATGTCTCCGATCCTTCCAGCAACGCATCGGCAAGCTGGCTATCCGTGTCGACCACTTTGGAGGGCGTCAAGGCATTGACCATTCGACTGCCGGTTGATGCTAGGCGCGCCTTGCTACTCCCGTTGTGGGGTGTGCCTAGGAAAAGTATGCCGTAGGTGGAAACGAAAATCGAGTGGAGATGCTGAACTAGCTTGCTCGTTCTACTTGATGAGTATGCAAGAGCCTGCAAATAGGTCAAATGTGGGAAGGCCAAGTGTGTGGGCTCTTGAGCGTATATCCATACCCGTTTTACTATTATGCCACCGAGTGAATGACATATAAATATAATCGGTCGCTGCGACGCATTTTCGAACTGTTCTTAACTCAATACTTTTCCTATCCAGGGTCCAGAAATCTCACCTCCCGATCCGCAACCAACTCTGCGACGAGGGTCTGCGCATGTTGTAATATCCGATCTGAGGATGTTTTGCCAAACAAGGCAGCGACAGTCGCATGGTATCCGTAAGTCAAGATGCGTGCTTCCTTAAGGTTGTATGGAAGAAGATCCGCATCTTTAAGCCAGCATTTCTTCGTTTTGTCCGTAGTCCATGTCTTGAAAGGGTGTCCGTTGAGCCCGTGAACGGCTACTATGCTTCGAAAAATCAGCTTGGTACAGCATCCACTTGTGAACTCGCTTACTCGACGAGAGGATTCTGACCTCTATATACCTCGATCAGACCAGTAGCCTCGTTCATCATGATATGGAATTGCTGCTCTCAAGAGGATACCTAACGATCTTAAAGCACAGCAGGAAACATAAATCGTGGACTACTCTGCGCCGAAGCTCCCACTTGAAACGCAAACCGGGGCTGAGCCACACCCCCATGCATCAAGAGCACACAGAGACTATTTAAGCAACAGGAGTCATTCTACCCTATCATCCAGCATAAGCGCCCATCACGAGCTTGACGATTTCAAGGCGCTTGCTACTCCGTGTCCCTCGTGTGCTGTTGCGTGCGCTATGTTCCAGTCGACACGGCATTGCTGTTGGTTTCACCTGGTTGCACAACTTACATATCAAATTTGGGGGGCCGGGGCCAGCCAATGATAACTTGTATGGTGCCGCTGCAAGCTTGTGCCGACCACACTGTTGGATTTTACCTGCAAGCAGAGAGTGAAACGCTCTTAGAGACCAAGCCTCGCTCTTGGGAACAGCCTGAAATCGCTCGGACGGCGTGATATCGAGAATTCCCCTGTCTGTTCATGGGAGTGTATGACAAGTAAACAAAAAATGAGATAGCGATATGTGTGAAATGACCGATAAGAGATTGCAGGGGAGCAATCGCCTTGTTGCATATACTACCCTACGGGTAATGGAGATAACACCCCCTATATACACAGAATCAGCCAGTTTAGATATAAGAACCCATGGAGACCCATGGAGACTACCAAGCCAGATCCTTCGCAAACCCTAGTTATACCTACCAAGCCCTAGCCTCTAGAAACATCATAGAACCCTAAAAACATGCCACGATAGCATTCACTTCAACACGGGCCTGTAACAAATATCTAGTAAAAGACATAGATAATTGATATCCAGTAGTTAAGCATATTCTTAGCTGCCATTCTTTCAAACAAACCTACCAAAGAAACATCAAATCACCAACTTTTCGTCCACTCATTCTCACCCGCGGAAAAAATCAAATAGAACAGCAAAGGAGGAGGAAAAGCATGTGCCCTTCTCATCCGTACGTAGCGGCTTGGATAGAAGATGATAAACTCCTACACCATCATCCACTTTCCATCCTCATCCATCTTATAGAACTTTGTCTGTACTACGATCAGCATACGACTCGCTATACACGATACAACGGCTTACTTTATCCATGCCATGAGTATCAACAAAGTTGCATCGGTCCTTGAAGGTACAATAGCCCTGGTCACGTTCCCAAGCGCACTGATGTCCCAAATCTACACACGCGCAATCTGTCAGCCGCAACCCAGACGAAGTAATTGGGGAATAGATCGGAGCGAGGACTTACAGCAAAAGACATTTGTGCAGTAGGGATCGCGACAGGGAATATTCCTTGCCTTGAGCTGCAAAGCAATCGTCTCCCCAGCCGTGAGGGGAGGACCGTGCTGGAAGCGACAGAAGTCTCCGTTGGGGCATTGGTGGTTATTGAGATGCCATTGGTTGCAGAGGTTACTTCCGCCCTGTGCGACAGGTTAGTAGGTCTTTACTTCAACCGTTTGCATATCGACAGTGTAAGACAATGCATGACTGACCTCCTTCATACGTTTGTCAATGGCCTGTGTAGCTTTAGGATCCAAAGCGGGGAGTTTTTCGTCGAGTCGGTGCTTCTCCTTATTAAGATAGATAACCCGCTTCTTAGGCAATTTATATGGCGTGACATCAATGATTCCGTTGATCGGTCCTGATGACTTCGCTACGCTCCTCCAGGTTGACTCCGCGGGCGCCGGAGTGGAGACGGGAGACGGCGCTGCAGCTGGCTTACGGTCCTCTGACAGGGACAATGTCCGCTCCGGCATAGCCTGAGACGGCGGGTTCGCCGGCCGGCCACTTTCAGGTAGTGGCTGCGTTCTGAAGACATCGTCGAAGCGGACCGTGTTAAATGGAAGGTCCAAGAATCCCGGGTAAGGGGACGTAGCGTGCAGGAGGGTTAATTTAGCAGCCTTTTCCTTGTGGTGTTTGTACTGTCCGAGAGTGTTGAGATATCCGGCGTCATGGCAACCTCCGAAGATGATGTGCTTGCAGGTTGGGTTTTCACTAAAAGTGCGGAGCATTTCTGCGAACTCTTCGTCAAATCAAGAATGAGGAATAGTGCGGTTAGGCCTACCATTGATCTTGAAATCCGCACGCTCCTTGCCGTAACCGACATCGATAATACTAAACAAAGGTTGGTTGACATTGAAGTCTTGGGCGAAGAGGCGGAATTCCTGCTGGTTATTCAGGAGCCCGACCTGAGCCAGCTTCTGGCCCATCTTATCCAGGCTGACATAAATGTTGACCATGATCCGCCAATGGCTCGACTTAGGGTAAAGCGAAGAGACGTGGTCTCGAATGGCAGCCTGCAGCTTCGAGGCTGCCTCGGAACCACTTTGAGCCTTCAGAAACGTGTCTTGGAACTGGTTCCTGGTGAGCAGATGTAGCCGTCGAGTGGCAACAGGAGGCTTACATAAACACCATCTCCATCAATTAAGCCTAGCACGAATGCACTATCCTCCTGTGAGGGTGGTTAGTTTTCCAGGTACTCAGGCCAACCGAGCTGTGCAAGCTGAAACCCCACCTGAAGGCTGATCAAACGGTCCCGCGCATCGAGGCTCTTCTCGACTTCCTCCTGGTACTGACGACGCATTCTCCGTTCGTTCTTATGATCGATACTAAGTTCCCGATAGTCCTCCTGAAGCGCCTTATACTTTTTGATAAGATCCTTCCCTGTGTTAGCCTAGAAAAATCACGCAAACCGTGGGTTGGCCAGTCGGCGCCTATGCGTACAACAAAGACCTCATTGAAGCTGCCGAGCTTAGACTCATAATCGTCTGTATCGATCCCATTCGCCATGGTCATATTGCTGGGGGCCTCACAGTACATGCAAGGAAACCTGGTTGCAAGAGGGGGGTAGTGTTTGAGGATGTGACGTTGAGGTCGATGGGGAGACGCGACTTTATAGTGGAGCGACGACTTGGAAGGACTCCAAAGCTATCCCGCGTCCTTAGCGCTGCCGCTAATCCTGATTTGGAAAATCACAGTCGTTAGATATTAGAAACCCAATGTTTACTAACCTAACAGAAAGACAGTCTGGAAACTCAATCAAGTGTTCTGTTCGAGCTGTCCTGAAACAGAAGCAAGATATAACAACGGCCAATCGTCTTCTTTGGACTCTACGCCTCCTCAACGCGACAGTGAAACTGCAGGGTGATCTGGCGCTGCAGGCGCACTTCAGCTGAACCTCACAAACAAGACCATGTTCCACCAGGAAAGCCATTCATCCCGATGGTTTCTTTCTAAACGCCCACATACGCCTCGCCCATTCACTGGTTGGCGCTCCACCCGAGAGCGTACCAACACGAGACAATGACGTTCAAAGAATACATGACATCAACCCTCCAGGATGCGGGGTTCCAACACCTAACATGCCATATCGCGGATACGAGACAACTGATTGATGTCAATCGGTGAATGTCGACGTGCTTGCTTCCGACTAAGGCAACTACAATTGCGTCCAACACTCGGAGGTTTGCCTCTAGTCAAACGCTCAACACGCGAACAGCTGTAAGTTTGTCAATTTTCTCGTCCAATGTCCTTCGAATACGAGAGCTCCCCAACAGCTCAGCGGCAGCTTGCCTACCCGGGCAAGGTATGAAACTGCTGCTACTACTCAATTCCGCGATCTTATAAATCACACGCGTAACCCCTACCTTCCTCGTTGTCCTAATTCCGCTTTATTAACTTCCTTCTTCTCCTCATCCTCACAGTTCCACCATTGCACACCACCGAGGACTCAGAATACACTGCTAACCCCCCAACCTACCCCCAGCCCACCCACCCGAACAACCACCACCATGACGACCAACCCACAACACCACCCCTCCTCCCCACCCCCCAAATACGCCCACACGCGCCGCGAATCCTTCCACCCGGTCCACGAACTCCTCTACTGGCCCGACTTCCCCGGGCGCGGCGAATTCATCCGCCTCGCCTTCGAAGCCAAAGGCATCCCCTACACGGACGTGACCAACACCGAAGTAGGCGGCTACGACAAGCTGCTGGCGCACATTGACCCCAAGGCGACGCACGCGCCCGTCCCGAGCGGTCCCTCGGACCCCATCGCCTTTGCCCCGCCCATCGTGCGCGTCCCCACCGAGAACCTGACCATCAGCCAGACGCCCGCCATCCTCGCCTACCTGGGCGCCCACCACCACTTCGCCGGCGACGGCTCCGAGGCCCAGAAGTACCACGTCCACAGCCTCGCCCTCACCGCCCTCGACCTCAATGATGAGGCCCACGATTCCCACCACCCCATCTCCGTCAACTTCTACTACGAGGAGCAGAAGCAGGAGGCCCTGAGGAGGAGCAAGGATTTCAGGGAGAAGCGTATCCCGAAGTTCTTCTCCTTCTTCGATCGTGTCTTGCAGGGCAACTTTGACAAGGGCAAGGGAAAGTACCTCGTGGGTAACAAGCTGTCGTACGCGGACACGACGCTGTGGCAGGTGCTGGATGGCCTCAAGTATGCGTTTCCCAAGGAGATGGCGGCGAGGGAGAAGGAGTTTGAACTGCTCTTTGGCACCTTCTACAACAGCGTCAAGGAGGAGAAGGGTGTCAAGTTGTATCTGGAGAGCGAGAGGCGACTGCCATATGGCAATGGTGTTTATAGACACTATCCGGAGCTGGATAGGCAAGAGTAGCTGCAGTTGGGCCATTGCATTTGCAGCGGCTGTTTGCGAAGACGAATCAGTGGGACCGGGGAATAGGAGGGGAGAGGGGAGCTCTTTAAACATCACAAAAATGAAATGGAAAAAAATCAATTGGTATCACCGAGCCTCCAACGGGCCCAAACGTCATTTTTAAGCCTGTCAGTTACATGATAACCCCGACATGATGCATGCATGCATGACCCGAAGCCGATTTGAACTCCCGAAACCACGTAATATGAGCAGCCAGCCGTCTAGTAGTCGGAAGCAGAGCTCTGGGGGAACTCAAAGTGGACGCCCTTGCCGGTAAGGCGCTTGTAGACCTCCGAGTAGGTATCGAGCCTGTAGTCAACACCGCCGCGCTCCTTCTCGTCGAGGATGACCTTGAGGACCTTGCTGCCGTCCTCGCGAGTCCTTAGGCGCTTGCCAACAATCTCAACGGGGTAGACGAGGTCGGTGAGGATGGCGTCGTGGACCGCGGTGAGGGTGCGTGAGCGGGGACGCTTCTGGGTCTGGGAGGTGCGCGAGCGGTTGGAGCGCTTGGGGCGGGGAAGGATGCGGCGGGAGGCAACGATCAGGACGTGGCGGTCCGAGAACTTCTTCTCAAGCTCGCGGGTGAGGCTGGTCCAATTAGCACGACAACCCATAGAGGCACTTCCCACCAACATACCGCTGCTGAGACTTGTGCCAGCCCTGAAGGAGAGGGACAGGGACGAAGATGACAATGGCCTTCCTGCCGTGGCCGACCTCGATCTAAGAGTCCTGGTGTCAGCGTTCTGTTCGAAGCTGCCCAGTGCCCACCGCCTCTTCGATATTCCACAGTGTATATTTGTTCAACGGCTTCGATTGCGATTCGAGAGCGTCGAAGAACCCATCGGGAGAGGAGTTTGGATGCCGGAGGTGCTGTGACTATCTTACCTCACGAGCGGAGACGAACTGAAGAGGGCGCAGCGAGCTCTTCATGTCGGGGATGTTGCTCTCGAGATCGTAGAGAGCATTCGCGATGCTCGTCTCGATCTCGGAGGGGTTCTGCCTCGACGGGCTGTTAGGGGCGATCTTGTTAAGCGCGGGCGACGACATGTTGGTTGGCGGCTGCTGCGTCGAGGTTGTCGAGAGGAGGTCGGTCGTGTCGTGGATGCGAAAAGTTCAGGTGTTGGTAGTGATTTTGGCGGATGTGGGAGCGCAAGCGAGACTGCGACGCTAGTCCTAATTCGTCAACCACCGCCAAGCGGGACCAGATAAACGACAAGCTACCCAACGTACTCAGCCAGTCTTATAAAACTGGAAGAGAATTGCACATGGTCATTCACGTGTCCGAGATTGATAGCTTTCGAATTCCAAAAGTATCGCATAATTCATATATATCCGCCATACAGTAACAATCTCTACGATGACCATGCATTCATCTATGCCACTAAATGAAGACACATTCTCCCTTACCCAACCCTTTTACTTCCTCTTACTCGCACCCCCCTTCCTCTGCGACCCCGTCGCCTTCGCCGCCTCCACCTCCTTGACCTTCTCCTGATCTGGAACCTTCAGCCCCTTATCCGCCCCCGCGGGCGCCCTAAGCGGCTTATTCGCCTTCTTCTCCTCCTCCTCTTCCTCATCGCCGCCCTGGCCAAACTCATTCACACGCGAGTAATCCACCTTGTAGATCCAAGTCTGATACAGGTAGATGAAGAAAATGACATCGTCTCTCAGCGTGGCCAGGCGATGCAGCGTGGGCATCTTGATGGTGAAGGCGAACAAATCATCGATGAAGGTGTTGAGGAACTTGTACGTCATGGCGCGGCCGGGCATGTGCGCAACAGACTTGAGACGGTAGTTGATGTAGAGCGAAGGTACCATCATGAGGAAGCCGTAGGCGTAGACGGAGCCGACGAGCGTGGTGATGATAAATGAGTACCAGCTCTTGTGGGTCTCGTACATGAGCGAGTAGACGGCATATGCCAGAAGGAGAGGGATGGCGACCATGTAGAGATATTTGAAGGCAATCTGGTCGTACTCCTCCGTCTTCTTCTCTGTCTCTGAAAGCACGTGCTTGTCCTCGAAGACGATGGCGTACGGAAGGAACGAGCCAGGCGCGGTGGGTCGAAGACGGACGTTGACAGTCTTGGTGACTTTCCAGGCTTCGATGGCGATGCTCATGCCCTGACCAAACAATATCATCCAGGATGTGTTCTCGTTGTTGTCCATCAGATACAGGAAGATGATGGTCTGCATGACCACATTGGACAGAATGGTGCGGACAGACGTGCCAACGTTATCCTTCTTCTTGCGCCAATGGGCCACGTCGTTCTTGAACGCGAGCATCTCAAAGATCATATGCAGGACAGAAACAACCCCCGTAAGAGCCAAGAGGTAAGAGTTGCTGTCAATGAGGATCTCCTTGAACATCTCCATCTCAGAGCCATCGCTACCCGTAGGTGTGGACTGGCCAGCTGCGTGCGCCGCAGCCTGCGCACGCAGGTTCTCCTCCATGGATGCGTACAGGTTGAACTTCCAGTTCGCCAGATTGTTAAGCTTCACATTGAGCGGGAGCGTCTTGACCGTCTCATTCAACTCAATCATATCCTTTCTGAGCTGCCAGAACGTATTCGGGAACAGGACGGGATAATACCATCCATTCTGACCCGTCGCATCCCTGGCACCAGTCTGCTCAAGCTGGAAGAAACTCCTCGGTCCAGGGTGCATAGACGGATAATTGACCACGCCGGTATCCGGAATCATGGAAAGCGTGAAGTTGGGATGGTAGTACGAAGCAATGACCTTGGGCGCATTCTTCTCCTCTTCGGTCTCTACATCCCGCTCCGGCATATCCGACAGCAGGTTCCTCGTCTTTGCAATCTTCTTTTTGGGCATGAATCGCGTCAGGGGTCGAACTACACGATACGCCTGGGAAGGGTTATAACCCGGGGCCGTGGGATCCAACACACTGCCGCTCTGGCCGACGTAAAAATGCGCGAACAGTGTAGCGTTGCGTTGAACCGCACTCGGCACCTTGAACTCGGTCTCAACAATCCGATTCTCCTTGTATTCCCCGAACCTGAAGTTCTTCTCCTCAATCAACAGCGACTCCTTTGGCATCGATTTAAGGGCAGGCATGATGAGCGACGGCGAGATGTACATGGAGATATCCACCTCGGTTCCTACAGGCCACATGGGCGCAATCATCTGCGGTATCGGATTCCACGCGGCATCTGCATTGAGCTGATGCGGGCGGTCGGCGTAGGCGGGGATGTTGACTTTGCCCGGCGTGCCAGCGACGGCGGAGCCTCCTTTTGCGGATTGAACATTCTGCGCTGCGGGGAAGAGTTGCTTCGAGGCAAATTGGATGAGGAAGAATATGCCGACGCTTTGAACGAGGGTCCGGACAATCTGCGAGACACGGCGTTAGTTTTGGTGAAGTTCGCGGTGACCATATGTGGAGCCCCTATGAGGGGAAGGAGACATGTTCACTCACGCTCTTTCCGCCCTGGTCCTCTTCCTGTCGTGCCTCCGGCATCTTGACAAGTCGGATAGGCTGCTAGAGAATGAAAACTCGCGATGGGCCGCAAGTGGTTGTTGTCAGGCTCCTTCAGCAATTGCACTTGCGATATTTGGCCCAGCATCTCCTTCAGGATTAGCGTCAATGCGCCACCCGTGGACGCCACACCACCACGAGGGGCATCAACCAGACATCCATGTCCTTGGGTCCGTGCATCATCGTCCTTTGGATGTTCACTCCGGCCAAGATACGTACGTGGACCAGCCCTACCTAGTAAACTTCTTTGTAGAGCCAATCAGTGAATCCACGTTGACGTGTCGGACTGGTTATACATCTAACAACGACGAGCGCCTTTTCTTCCTCGCAATTCCTCAATTTTCATTCTTTAGCCTTCACTCTTCTGGGCTTCAGTTGTTCTCAAACTTCTCTCTCCGCCCACCTTCAACAATTACTCCGTACATAACTCTACTTTCCTTGAGCATACTCTGTAACAAACCCCCCACCATGACGACCGACAACGAAACAAAATCCCAACAACCCGTCGTCTGCGTTTTGTACGTGCCCTACCTCCTCTCCCACTCTTCCTCTCCTCTGCTCTAAACCGCACCTACTAACCCCACCCCCAGCTGCGGCGCCTCCTCCGGCACCTCACCGATCCACCTCGAAGCCGCCCGCTCCCTCGCCCACGCCCTGCATGCCCTAAACGCGCGCCTCGTCTACGGCGGCGGCACCGTCGGCCTCATGGGCGAAGTCGCCCGCACCCTCGTCTCGCTCTCCGGCCCCTCCTCCGTCCACGGCATCATCCCCTCTCCCCTTGTAAAATACGAGCAATCGCACGACCCATGCGACGACCGGGGCCACCGCATCGACGAAGCCGTCTTCGGCCGCACCACCGTCGTCAAGGATATGCATACGCGGAAGCAGATGATGGCGCGCGAGGTCATTGCTGGGGGCCCCGGGAGCGGGTTCGTCGCGCTGAGTGGGGGGTATGGGACTATGGAGGAGTTGATGGAGGTGACGACGTGGAATCAGTTGGGGATCCATGATCGCCCTGTTGTGATATATAATGTCGAGGGGTATTGGAATGGGTTGATTGAGTGGATAAGGAATGCGGTCAAGAGTGGGTTCTTGAGGGAGAGTAATGCGGGGATTGTGGTCGAGGCGAAGACGGCCGAGGAGGTAGTGGCTGCGTTGAAGGGGTATAGGATTGTCGAGGGTAGGTTTAACTTGACGTGGGAAGGGGTCGGGTTGGAGCCGGAGGATGAGGTCGAGCAGGAGAGCGTGCAGTGTAAGGAGTGAGGGGCAATACCGGAAGATGTGGCCTTTAAGGCGATTGCATATGCATGGATTTAAGATGGGCGCATTTTCTGATTTATGCATGGAGCTGGTGGTGAAGACGTACATCATCTCGCCGGCTTTGAGACATTTGAATGGCAATGAGCGTTTTCATGAGAAGCATAAGGATAAGGGGATAGATCAGGATGAAACATATACCGAGAATAGAGAAACTTTAATAGAAAATTATATCTGCCTGCACACAGTGTTAAGTAAATCCGTTACTGTCTGGTAGACGGAATGGGCTTCACGAAATCCATGGGAGCAGTTGAACCAAAGATGGAAAGAAAAATCCCGAATTATTATAGCACATGGCCTAAAGACCATGGAAGAGTACTACTGTCTGGGTGATCGACCCCACACATGCTACTGTACATGAGAGCCAATGTCGTTCATGCCACCAGAACCTGGTGTGATATCCAGGGATGCCCTCCACGGGTATGAAAGGAACCAAACGCCTTGCAATGCAGGAGTCATCAGAAAACCGCCCGCAAGCTCCCCTGAAACGATGAAGTACTGGTAGAAGACAGGTACAAGGAAGTGGACACCTGCACTTTTCCTCCCGATGGCAAAAGCCACTGTGAGTCAGAAACACTGGCTGATTGAAGGCAGTGGAATGGGTATGGTCGTCATCATGCACGCTACGAAGAAGCAAGCAAGCATGGGCTACATCTGGAAACCCGGAAGCTGGAAGCCGAAGCCGGGGACAGCGGGAGGAACAGCAACGGAAGGCTCGGGTCTAGGAGAGATGTGGCGAGCTTCATGACCACCACCTCCAGCACCTTGGGCCTGCTGTGGTTGTTTGCGGAACCGACCGTGGTCGAAACCCGTCCCGCCGCCACGAGCACCGTGACCGTGGCCGCCACGTCGCTCTGGCTCCGGAGGAACGCGTCGGCTGATAGCTACAAACCTGTTAGAATCGAAGGGCCCGAATACCCGAATATCTGCAAGACTTACCCTTAGAGGAGACACCAGCTCCAATCTCGATGTCAGGCTCCTCAATCACCATGCCGCCCTCTAGAGGACGACCGCCAGTGCCCCCATACTCGGCAGTCACGACCCACTTGAGGTCAGCTTCAGTCAGACGGGAGATGGGTATAACGCTGATGCCAGTGGTGTAGTCGCTGCAGTCTCGCGGACCGAAGCCTACGCCCCAACGCGTCTACAGCGAGTCAGTATGTGTGTTTGTGTGTGTGGTATTTTTGTACTCCCTACCTGCCGGGCTTTTGACAACGTAGCTGGATCCTGGACCTTATCCATGCCCTCTTTGGCGGCGACGGCATCGCGTCGAGTAACCATTTTTACAAAAGCATGTCGCTTGTTCAAGTTGACAATACAAGTCTGAACCTTTCCAAAACGACTGAAGATATTGCGGATCTCCGCCTCTGTGCCACCAGCACCGCCTACGAACAGAGTCCGACTAAGGACTCGGATGTGGTCACGCGGCAAGGTGTTGTCCCATTCAAGGAAGCGTTGCTGACCATTACGGGGTGGGCTGGGCTGTCGACGCTGCCCAGGTGGTGTGCGTTGGCGATACTCATCGCGGCCCCGTCCTTTGTTCTTGCCCCTCCCACGCCCACGTTCACGTCCATTACCGTTCTGGCCGTTCTCATCGTTACGTGCATTGGGATCATACACTCCATATGTGGGGCTATCGCGACGATGAGGTGGTGACCTACGATCAGGAGATTGACCACGGCGACTGAAATCAGGCGACCGACTACGGTCCCTGAATCTACTATCGTTCTGTGCATATCGATCTAGCTGAGGACCGCTCTGCGGGACAGCAGGTGGATTTGCTGCGACTGGAGGCTGTGGAGGAGGCGGGAAGAGAGGGGCTGCGCCCGGCTGCTGTGCCCGTGCAAGAGCAGCAAGGACATCCATAACCTTGTCAGGAGGGATCAGGCCAGTTGCAATGGCGCCCAAGAGCTGCTGCATCATATCATTACCGCCAGCCGGCGCAGGAGGGAACGTCTGTCCGGTCGCCGGGACGGGTGGAGGGGGGATGAATCCAGGGAGAGGCGCTGCTACATTTTGAGGGAATTGCATTGGTGGTGGAGCGGGCACTTGTGGCACCGCTGGCACGACTGGCATTGTTGGCATTGTTGGCACTGCTGGCATTGCTGGTGCTGCTGGGGGAGGGTTAGTGTTGGGAATCTGACCCATCTTTGCAAGAGCAGCAAGAAGCGCGCCGGGATCCGCAGCAGCTGGCGCAGGAGCAGGAGCAGGAGCAGGAGGGGCTGCAGCCTGTGGGTTAGCTTGATTTCTGGGTCCAAAGGGGTTGAGTAGGCCCTTGGGAGGGCTACCGGGAGGCGTATAGGTTTCTAGCCGGAGCATCAGTACACATGCGCATAGCAAGGGAGGAATAGTCGAAAGGGATAGCCTTACTGTTCTGCGAAGCGCTCAACTGCTGCTTGAAGTCGGCAAGCATGTTGAGAGGAAACGTCTGCCCGCGTTCCCAGATGTCCAACAGTTTCGAGATCTTCTCTTTCTGGTTGTCTGGTGCAGTCTGTATAAGATCCGACATCAGTGTAGGAAGCACGTCTGTCACCTTCTGTACACCTGAAGCGAAAGTGCCCGGTGCGGCATTCTTGATGATGGCCTGTCCCGCTGCCTTTGCCTTCTCTACCCATTGTCGAGTGACAGAATCTAGAACGTATACTACGCCTAACTTGTGTGTGACGGGGCTGTTGTGATATTGCTGGACGATCTTCTGGACGATTGTGGAGTCGGACTATGGACATGAGGACGATTAGTGGTTGCGCAAAGCGATGAATGATCGTGTGCATTCTTCCTGGCAGCATACCTGAACATTCTCTACACATTTCGCAGTGATGGCATCAATCTTGCTTTTGGTAACTCCGGGAGGCTTGAGCGCTTGCAGAGACTGCAGCAATGTGCCCAGTTCTTCCATGGCGGCCATGGTACGGTCAAATTTACTGAAGGTCAGTGTCCTTGGGTGCGGACCTATCTTCTCGGATTCCGTTTAGATGAGGAGGGATAACGCGCTGAGATGGGAAGACTGGTGAGAGTAAGAGCACGCAGCAGAGACTGATCTACCAGGTTAAGCGCAGAAGCCAAAGGAGGTAGGAGAAAGGGTTGCGAGGCCGGCGCGGTTGGAATTGTGGTGTAGTGTCGAAGTTCTTGCGCCTTCGGATGCTTTTAAAAGACCTACAGGCGCGACCCAGGATGGGAAAAGCAGGTCGCCCTTCCAAGTGTTACGGTGTATCAGAGCAGTAGGCGGTGGAAAGTAAGTACTGGCGCTGAGAGTCTACGACGTTGTTCCTGGGATAGATCGCCCTAGTTGGACGGGAGAGAAAGGGAGCGGAAACCAGCAGGAGATGTGGTTGAGGGTGAACGACTTCCCTCGGGCGTCGCAGAAAAAGCTTGGCCCTCGGGTGCTTACTAAGCTACAGTTCACAAGTCACGTGCAGGCCGTGCCCAACACAGTGAAGCGATTATTGCGGTATTTGTTGGTTTTGTCAACGAGTGAGAGTGAGTTTCATTATTGCGTGTGCACAGCTACTTTTGTAGATAATAACAGTTGAAAATGTCGACATGGGCAAAATCGGGCATCCACATAGCTACTACCTAGGTAACTCGGAGGCTCCGTTGAAGCTGCGCAAACGCGCCGGACAAAATAAACACAGGATAATAAACACAACAACTCTCTGCCAGCTGAACAAAGACACAGCGTCAACCTTTTTTTTTCCTCGCGGGAGTGGCTCAGTCTTATCACCAACCTATCCGACAACAGCCGACAAAAGGAACATGGCGCTCCTGTGGAAGAGCCTCACTTTATTATTGGGCCGTGGCTTCCTCCGAGGGCTCAGAATGACGTTGGTCCATGCTCCGCACTCAGCTCGGTGATGTGTGGTCCTGGCAGGAGCTCCAGCGCGGACATTTTTTTCCCTCACCCACCCGACCCGACTTCTCCTCTTCTCTCTCCGCACACCCGCCTCATCCCCCCACCACTCTCCCCCTCCTCCATCAATTCCCAGCTGCTGCTTCATCACAATCAGCACAATGGCCTCTTCTCTCAGATTAGGAGCCAGCATCCTGCGCACCGCTCCCCTGCGCACCGCCGCCTACAAGGGCTTCCGTTGCTACTCTGCCGGCAAGACCACGGTGCGCCATACGTCTTCCCGGGGCCGAGGTGACGACGGCTAACAGCATCAATTGCAGTCATTGAAGGAGACCTTCGCCGCTAAGATTCCCGGCGAGATCGAGAAGATCAAGAAGCTGCGAAAGTACGCCTGCTGTCCCCCTCGCACTCCGTCGTCCTCGCAGCATCATTGACCTAGCACCACAGGGAGTACGGCAGCGAGGTCGTTCAAGAGGTCACTCTCGACCAGATCTATGGCGGTGCTCGTGGCATCAAGTCGCTCGTGTGGGAGGTTGGTTGCTGCATTTCAACGCATACGCACTTGATAGCTGACCGTCTCGTAGGGCTCCGTCCTCGACTCCGAGGAGGGTATCCGCTTTCGCGGCAAGACGGTATGCACATGGGAACATCTGCCATGAGGACAGCACACTGACAGTGTCTAGATCCCCGAGTGCCAGCAGGTTCTCCCCAAGGCTCCCGGTGGCGAGGAGCCCCTCCCTGAAGGTCTCTTCTGGCTCCTCTTGACGGGCGAGGTCCCCACGGAGCAGCAGGTCCGTGACCTCTCCGCCGAGTGGGCTGCCCGCTCCGACGTGCCCAAGTTCGTCGAGGAGTTGATCGACCGCTGCCCCAGCGACCTGCACCCCATGGCTCAGTTCTCCATTGCCGTCACTGCTCTGGAGCGCGAGTCCAACTTCGCAAAGGCCTATGCTAAGGGAATGCCCAAGTCCCAGTACTGGGAGCACACGTTTGAGGACTCCATGGACCTCATTGCTAAGCTGCCCACCATCGCCGCTAAGATCTACCGCAACGTCTACAAGGATGGCAAGGTCGCTCCCGTTGAGAAGGACAAGGACTACGGCTACAACCTGGCCAACCAGCTCGGCTTCGCTGATAACAAGGACTTTGTCGAGCTGATGCGCTTGTATCTCACCATCCACTCCGACCACGAGGGTGGCAACGTCAGCGCCCACACCACCCACCTGGTCGGCAGCGCTCTCAGCTCCCCCTACCTCTCGTTGGCTGCCGGCCTCAACGGTCTTGCTGGTCCTCTTCACGGATTGTAAGTCGACCGCAACGCGGAAGCACAGGATTGCTAACTAGTTGCAGGGCCAACCAGGAGGTGCTCATCTGGCTCCAGAAGATGAAGAAGGCCATTGGCAACGACCTCAGCGACGAGGCCATCAGGGACTACCTGTGGTCGACGCTCAAGGCCGGCCAGGTCGTTCCCGGATACGGCCACGCCGTGCTCCGCAAGACGGACCCCCGCTATGTCTCCCAGCGCGAGTTTGCTCAGAAGCACCTGCCCGACGACCCCATGTTCAAGCTGGTTAGCCAGGTCTACAAGATTGCGCCCGGCGTCCTCACGGAGCACGGCAAGACCAAGAACCCGTACCCCAACGTCGATGCGCACTCGGGTGTCCTGCTGCAGTACTATGGCCTCACGGAGCAGAACTACTACACGGTCCTGTTCGGCGTGTCGCGCGCTCTCGGAGTCCTTCCGCAGCTCATCATAGACCGTGCGGTGGGCGCGCCGATCGAGCGACCCAAGTCGTTCAGCACGGAGATGTACGCGAAGCTTGTCAATGCTACTTTGTAAGGGAGTGCAAGAGCGGAGGAGCAGATGGATAGAGCAGCGGAAAAGCGTTTGGGAAGCAAGCAAGATTTTTGTAATGTACGAATTCAACTAGGGATGTAAGATTGGGCCGTTTGGGTGTTTAGCATGGTTTCGAATTGGGCTTTGCAGCCGGTGTATGACTAGCAATCCAATACTGTCTTGTTGACGACTCCCTTGGGCCATGTCAGTTCGGAGGGTTTGGTACGCAGGGTCGGAATTCGGAGAGATGGAGTAATACTCCGGGCCCTGATAAGCCGGATCATTGATGGTGGTACAGGTTCATCACGTGCAATTCACCGACTGCCCATATGGATCCCGTTGGGGAGCCGTGGCGCGTCCAAAGGGTTGAGGAAGGAGTTCATGAAGGACGAGGCAGCGGGAGGCCGTGCCTCGGTAGAGCCGTTGAACTGTGAACAGCCCACCTGCACAACCTTGGCCAGCTATCTACTATAGTAACCTTGTCTCTCAGACCTCTTCAGCCGCTTCCTCTCCCCATCACTATTATTGTGAGTTTTGCTTCTTCAGCTTCTATTCTTGCTCGTGCCTCTCTCCCTCTCCCTCTCTACTCAGCTCGTTGAGAGGCCATCGGATTCCAGACTGGCAGCCGCTCGGGCCAAGCACCCCTCGCAAACAATCCCCAACAAGGTGAATTGCCCAAGTCCGCCTAGCGCACCTCTTTCGCTCCAGCTTCCCCCCTCCCCCCGGTCCCGAGCGATACCGGATTCTCCCAATCTCTGCCCAGAGCTTCAGCCACCCCGGGAACTTTTGTTTAAGAGCTGGTGGTGCTCCTCCCTCCGCGCCGCTCCCTCTCCCTTCTTCCTATTCAAACAAGCACTCTCTTTGCGAAAGACGCACCCTCTTCCCTTGGTCAGGGCCCCTTATCCGTGACAATTGATCCCCAGATGTCCACCCCTACTACCACCATTGCCGGAATCCCCCAGGATGCTCCTCCCAAGCTGGAGAAGAAGCCCGTCAAGTTCAGCAATCTGCTGCGTGAGTCTGCCTGAAGTGGAATCGTTGCTGAATCGCAAGCTGACCAAGGGGACTCGTACAGTCGGAGCCGGCTTGAATCTGTTTGAGTATGTACCCTTCCCGAGTCTTGGAAGCGCGGGGACAATGCGCTGACATGTGCTTCAACAGGGTGACGACTCTGGGCCAGGTATACCTCAACCTTGCGGGCAGGACCGATTATACACACAATGCTGACAATACATAGCCATTGGAGGTGACCAAGACCACCATGGCTGCCAACCGGGCCGACGGCTTCGCGGGCGCCATTGCAAGAATTTGGAGCCGTGGTGGAATCCTCGGATGTGAGTACTTCTCTTCTTCACCTTGACAGTGGGGACAAGGCCATTGTACCGCTTCAATCCCGTCAACCGTCATCTTGAGAAGGGAGAGCTAACAAGTCAACAGTCTACCAGGGCCTCATCCCTTGGGCCTGGATCGAAGCCTCGACCAAGGGCGCCGTCCTCCTCTTCGTTGCCTCCGAAGCCGAGTACTATGCCAAGACCTTCGGTGCAAACGACTTCGTTGCTGGTATCTCGGGCGGTATGACAGGCGGTCTCGCCCAGGCGTACGCTACCATGGGCTTCTGCACCTGCATGAAGACGGTCGAGATCACAAAGCACAAGGTGGCTGCCGCCGGTATGAAGCCCCCGGGCACCATGGAGACCTTCATGGAGATCTGGCGCAAGGAGGGCATCCGAGGCATCAACCGCGGTGTCAACGCCGTCGCCGTGCGCCAGGTCACCAACTGGGGCTCTCGTTTCGGTCTCTCCCGTATAGCCGAGACCGGAATCCGCAAGGCCACTGGCAAGGAGCACGGCGAGAAACTGGGCGTCATGGAGAAGATCCTCGCCTCCACCATCGGTGGTGGCTTGTCTGCGTGGAATCAGCCCATTGAGGTGATCCGCGTCGAGATGCAGAGCAAGAAGGAGGACCCCAATCGTCCCAAGAACTTGACCGTCGGAAAGACGTTCAAGTACATCTACCAGAACAACGGCATCAAGGGTTTGTACCGTGGCGTCACTCCTAGAATCGGGCTCGGCGTTTGGCAGACAGTGTGCATGGTTGCTTTGGGTGATGTGTATGTTCAACCTCCGGTGATTTCTGATGTCGACTAACTGTTTGCAGCGCAAAGGAAGCCGTCGAGAAGTTGACGGGCGAGAAGGTCACGGCTAAGCATTAACCGGCGTTGTTTATTTTGGAATAGACGGGTCTGGTCATTCTTCATTGATTTTCCCTACCGGTAGCTACCCTATAGCGGCTCAGGAGTATTATTATAATGATTTTGCACGAGGAATCAGCGCTTTGTCTATTCTGCACTCTCTATTTTTGCGAAGTTTTCCTTTTGTCATTCAGCGTCAAATCTCTGACATATATTCAGCGTTGCTCCGGCATGTCGCCATAGGAGAGGGCACAGACAACAGGGACAACACACTCAACAGTACTTTATTACCCAGAGCGTCGTTTGACGGAACCTCACGTTGGGCTTGGGTAAAAAGCAGTCTCAACCAGTTGGGCCTCTCTGTCTCAGCCGAACGCGTCGCTCTTTCACTGCCAGGTGGTGACGCAGAAATCCCTTCGGTCTTTCACCGTCGCTACACCGCACCATGGCAACCAAGACGCCATGGCCGTCCGCAGAATCTCTCATTTAGCTCTCATCTACATTCTTTCGTTGCAGATTATCTTCTTGACCACAACTTTCTGTTCGCAACCCAACCCGGTTTTGCAGTCATTGATATTGCTTGCTATTCGAACCTGGTGTACAGCTGCTATCATGGGCCAGCTTCGGGATCCACGAAGCTTTGTGCATGTGCCGGAGCATCACGCAGCAGAACAACACAATCTTTATGAGCAGAGTCTGGGAATGGGCAAAGGGCGGTTTGGGAATCCGTCCGCAGCGGCGTCATCATCTCCCCCAGCTGAACCTCAGAACTACGAATCATGCAGGGCACACGACTGGGTTACCAACGGGTACCATTTGAACACGGCCGCCTCGCCATTTTCTCGATTTCCAGCGCCTGGGCCTCCATATCAACAACAACCACCGTCACGCAAGCCACTCAATGTCGCTACCAACGGCCTCAAAACCACTTCATATCTGCCCCATCAGGCACAACGACCTACTCTGCCCGTCGGTGATGACATCGTATCAGGTCCCTCGTTTCCCCTATTTTCTCGCCTCCCTCGCCACATACGCACTCGGATCTTCACGCTCGCCTGCCCGCCTCCAAGGACGCGCTTCATCGAACTGTATGACTATGATTCTGATACCAATACTACGAAGGTTAGGTATTATCCCAGACTGCCGGGCTTGTTTCATGCGTGTAGGGAGGCGAGGCGCGTGTGCTTGGGGGTGTGGGGAGGGGAGGTGGTGAGGTTCCTGCCTGCTGATGGGGAATCCGACTGGGAGGATTGGGGTTACGAGATGGGCATGGGGGACGAGCCTATAGAGGAGAGGGCGAACGGGGAGGTGGCGGAGGAAGCCGATGAGGACACGAAGAGGCTTGTTGAGCAAGACGAAGAGAGATATGGGGAGGGCGGTAACAGTGGAAGAGAAGCGGAAGAAAAGTATGAAGAAGCAGAAACGCGCTGGTATCCAGGCTTCTACGCCAATCTCGCCCTCGACATCATCTGGCTATCCAGCCGTTTCGGCCCACGCCTAAATCACGCCTACCCACTCCTCATACGCCCTCGCCCCCTCCGCATCGCCCCGTCTCCGTCATCCTCGTTATCGGCATCATCCAGCAACAACCGTCAAAACCACGCCGGTATCACTTACCCCACTCCCATCCCCCAAACCGACCACACCTACTCCCCCACAAGCGAAACCCACCGCCTCAACACTCTAAACACCCTCATCCCCATCCACATCCTCGGCCGCATCACGCGCCTCGCCGTCTCCGTCTCCGCCCTCGACACCTTCAGGCAGCATTCCACGTTCGCGCACGGCTTCCGCTGGCTCCACGCCTGCCACACCATTTATCTGCTCGTCCTCGACGACGGCTTCTCGAACCGCGCGGTCCGGCGCGCTCTCGCGGCAGGAAAACCGCCTGTCGGGGCTGTGGCGAGGCGCGTGAGTGGGTTGTTGAGGACGCAGGAGCGCTTTTGGCGCGAGTGGGAGTGGAAAAGGGATAGGGAGTTGCAGGCCGAGGTTGTGGAGATGGGGAATGAGCAGTGGGGGCAGGAGTGGGCCGAGTGGGTATGCGAGAGGGAGGAGAGGGAGAGGGTGAGGAGAGACAGGAGGGTGGTGGAGGTGGGTGAACTGCGGTTGGACTATTAGGGGTAGGATTGGGGTCTTTGAATAAGAAAGAGCAGGTGAGTCTGGTTTGGGGACGATGACGGGTTGGATGGAATGTAACAGGTGTGATGAGGTGCTCGACCATGTCGATTCTACACCGTGGACCAATTCAACCTGGATAGCCAAACTACTGTATCCATCTATTTATCCATCTATATGTAAAACCCCATATACGAGTACCCAGGCGGTGTTATACCGCCTCCTTTCACACCCGACAAAGCAAGTCCCAGTACTACTGTTCCAAGTTATATTACCTATCTCAACCATTTCAATTAGTCACAGTCTAATTCGGCCACTAGAGCACGGCGTTTCAAGGCTCTTATACCTGTACGAAGGCATCTGTCAAGCTAATGACGCGTTTGGTATAACCCTGCGACCTGAGTGTTTGTTGTTCGGTTGGACGTGAAAAGAGACAGTGGACGTTAAATTGACACGTGAACTACGCGCCAAATGGTCAACCTATCTGTAACGCAGAACAAGACTCTCTCTTTATGCGCAACAGTTGAGCTGCAGCTGCAGAAGCCGGACATGCTAGCAGACAGGGAAACTATCGGTCTAGAAGAAAACGGAGAAACGGGTTCCATTCAAGTTCCTATTCTTATCCGTTTCCCTTCCAGTGTGTGTACGTAGTGATGTATTACTTAGAAGCTACACACATAGATAAAAGTCTACATTACCTTGCGCAGGTTAGGTACCCTTGTGTAGGTTAGGTACCCTACTGCAGCGCTGCACCTTCTTACATCCGACTACACATACATGTTGATGACATTCCCGCTGCACTTCTGCTACAGATTCTATTGCCTACTTCTGCTTTCCACGTCCGTCTAACCAACCAACCCCTTTCCCCCTTTAACCAACATTTCCTCTGTAGGTATCATTCCCAACCCCACCAGTGGTTGACAGAATTTGTGCGCGCTGACATAAGCTACACCTCACTCAGAGAGCGCGCACGAATTCTGTCAACCACTGGTGACCCGGCGCAAGGTAATTAGCTAACTACTAGCATTACTATGCGTAGAGTTTTTGTTTCAAAACGTACTCTCTCTAGATAGAGGCAGAATAAAGCTAACGGCAAGGTCTCTTATATCTGCTCCTCCTCCTCGCTGTTCAATTCAGTGTAGAAAAGAGCAGTACGGAGGAAGCGCAGGATGGTGTTTAGTTAGATGTGAAAAGGAGCTACCGTAGCATGTGCAGGACAATGCCTATCGATTTCCTCTAGGGCTACCTTCTATGTCGACGCCTGACCCTCCAACACCTAAAAACCTAAGAATATCCAAAGGAAAAGAAAAAAAAAAAAAAAAAAAAAAAAAAAAAAAAAAAAAAAAGGGAATGGGCCTAG